ATATATATATATAGAGTTTTTTATAAATCTTCACAAAACCAATACGGGTTCAAGCCTTTTTAGTAGAAGCCCTCTGTTCGTTTCTTCATGTGTCATAACTCTTTTTCTTTTTTTAATTTCTACCCTGACCCCCATGAACTTTAATCTGATTCGTGTGACCCTTAGTCTGACCCTCGTGACCCTTATTCTGACCCTTGTGACACTTAATTGTGGGGTCTTAATTTCGAGTATCAAATTTTTATAATATGTCTCTATACTATAAAAATTGAAATCAACTGCCGGTGATCAAAATCTGGTGCTCGAAGTTAAGATTCCAAAATTAAAGGTCATGAGGATCAGAATAAGGGTTATGACGGTCAGAATAAGGATCGCGAGGGCCAGAATAAGGGTCACGAGGATCAGCTTAAGTGTCACCCTTATCAGAATAAGGGTCCAAATAAGGCCCACAAGGGTCACATGAAGGGTTATATGGATCAGATTAAGGGTCACAAGTGTCAAATTAAGGGCCCAAATAAGGGCAACAGGGGTCAGATTAAGGGTCTAAATCAGTGTGACATGGATCAGATTAAGGGTCTCAAGGGTCAGAATAAGGATCATGGGGGTCATATAGAGGTTGGCGAGCGGAGCGAGCAGGGGGCGGAGCCCCGTAACAGAGAAATAAATGACACATGATGATTTTGTGTTTTTTTCTCTTTCAGTCAGCAATCGCTCTTCTAACACCTCCCTATTATACTCAAGATGTGGATCATCCAGTAGACATTTTCGTGCAGCTTATAAAACCATCAACTAATGACTATGGTAAACCTATCTCTCTCCAACTTCTGCCCTCCCATTCGATGCTTAACAGTCTGACAGATGCAGATATTCAGTTTTCACTAAAAAGAAAGAGGAAAAACTTCAAAATCTTTGATTTATTGGAGCATCCAAACAAGGCTCCCTGTGGCTGCATACTGGCACCGATAATCAACCCTAGCTGTCCAATCCATAATCCACAAATTAGAAACTTCAACCAAGGAACAAGCACAATAAATCATGGACCAGGATATGAAAGTACATGGAATATTCCTGAAACAAGACCAAAACTGTTTTACTACAACGAGAACATCAATATTGAAGGAGCCATGTCTCTACCGAAGAAAGCAAAGTACTCGGTAGACTTTGCACCCTCAATGGCAGCTCGAATGCCTACCGCCTACAACGCAGTCCATAATACAACTTCAAATGTTCCTCAAATGACTCTAAGAGATTTTAACAATCCAACACCGTGTGAATTCCGAAACAGACCTGCAGTGGAACCGAGTTGTCAACCATTACCTTTATCTCACCAATCGCTATGCATGTATCAAAACCCTTTCCCTAGAAATACCACCCCTATTGTGGCAGATGTACCCGAAGTACCTTTCAACAACCTGAGAGATTGGCAGGTGCAAGGTGAACCGACGTTGCAACCCATAATCGTGAAATTGAGTGAACAGCAAATACCACCATCCAACAATTATGGTGAATCTTCATTCTCATTTACCAGGAAAAAGTACTATTTTATCCTTAAGGATATCCAAATATCTTTTACAGCTTGGTACAGATCACACTATAGGTTCAACCACTTTCAATCTTCAAATTTGTCAATTAAAGTGGGTGAAAAAAATTTGAAAAAAATCATGAATATTGAGCGTCATTCAAATTACATTTTGCATAGAATTATTATTTTTTTAAACAGTCGTTCATAAATAAATAATTGACATTATTTAAACTTTCGGAAACCTTATTTTTTTAGGCATGAAATCGATTTCTGGTAAAATTCTGAATATGAATTAATTTTTTACGATTCCGAACAAATGATTTTTACGGTGGAACATTGATTGTTTATAAATTATTTATAGAAAATACTCGTAATTTTCAAAAATTACACTTTTTAAATTATTTCGTCAATCTTCCTCCGAAAGTCAACTTTCAATTTTTTTTCAGATTTTTTAAATGTTTTTCAACTGGTCAGTATCGAGACTCAAATTCAGACCTGCAAAGTTCAAATTATAAAATCATTGTAAAATATCCGGAAACTCAAATGGGGCTCAAATGAAAAATCGGATGGTCGACTACAAAAGTAGAAAAGCATTTTACTGGAGAAAAAATAGCTAAAGTACTTGGACATCCTTAATGCATATGGGTATTTTCGTCAATTATGAGTATAGTTTTGTACCTTCAAAATTTTGATTTTGAGGCTTCTCATAAAGTTTTCATATTATTAAAAAGACCAAATTTTTTTATTAGTTTTGTTATATTCACAGCGGCAATTTTTTCGTAAGTTTTTTGTAGATTATAATAGGTATTAATGACGGAAATTTCCCGTTGTTTCGATTGAGTCTGGTTTCAATTAGCTCACTCTATCGGAAATGGCTTAAAATTACCAAAACAGTTGAAAAGTCGGCATTCTATTCGCTTCCCCCACCTTGATTGCAGATTTCTTTTTTTCCTAGTCAAAATGACTGTTTTCACGAAACATTAAAAAATCAAAGTGGATTCTCACTGTTCTATAAAATTCTTCGGAGTAAGTGCAATATAATTTTTTTTTAATTGAAAAAATTTGTGTTAGATTTTTGTAATGATAAGAAAATCATACGAGACCTCAATAGAATCAAATTTTTAAAGGTACAAAATCATACCGATAATTGGCGAATACACTCATATAGGATTTATTAATTTATTAACAATATATTTTCTTTCATTTTAGATTACAACTCGAGAGGTCAGATAGATATGAATCAAAACTTGTTGGACTTTGATATCGATGACAGAGTGAATCAACTCTCTGATTCTCTCACAAGTGGGCTCATGCTCAGCGAGGAAATAGATTTTGAAGAATTCGATAAATACGAAAAAAGTATTAATAACGGTATTGCTATGGGTGTGCACGGAGCCTATGAGGAGACTGATTACGCGGTCCAAGGAATTTTGAATGTTTCTCAGAATCAAAAATCCCAAAATTATTCGACTAATGCATGGACGTGGGATTCGAGAATGAATTAATTTAAACAGGCAAATGGTAAACTATAACTGTTTGATTTTTTTCCAACTTGTTGAATAGGAATTTTCTTCTGATAGTCATTGGTATCGAAAAAAATTCCTACACAAATCGTGAATTTTCTCCACTTTACGGGATGAATCCACAAACAAAAACATCAAAATGAATACATTTGATTTTACCATTTTACTACGAAATCAATATCGATATTACCTAAAAAAACTCGCTTGTCTTGGCCACTAAAACGATGTGATATTCCTTTACCATCAGTTTCATACTATCGTATTTATTGTTACAGTGTTTCTTTTGTTAATTTTTTTACTTGTAATATACAACTGGGATATTTGGAATAACCTGAGTGAGTCAAGATATTCTCAATTATACAGTTTATAAACTCTGAAAAAAGAAAACATGTTTTTCTCTTTCATTGCTGTTACATTATTACACATTACCCTGTTGCGAAGACTGTGATAAAAAATAATAAAAAACAAAAACGACGTGAGATAAAAACTAAAGTAAATCAATGGAATTAAAATAAATGATAAAACGACGTTTGATTTTTTTTTATTGTTTGTCAAAATGTATTTACTTAAAAATACAATCAAAGTTTCTCGTCAAATTCTGATGGAATGGGCAGAAATTGTTTCTGTGGTATATCTATTTTCAAAGATTCTTTGTTTTGAAATCGAGATGAGGTGATTATTGATCCTGTACAAAAAGTAATTGAACAAGATAGTTTTTCGTTTATGAACACACAAATCCAAACTCTTAGCCTAAAGATGTATATTCTGTCATCGATTAAGTTTTTATTTGAATGAATAAAAGTGTGTTGGAAATGGGTGCTCTTTGAAACAACCTTCGTATCTCCACAATTTTTTTTATATAACATAGGAAATAGGTATTTTCTTCAACTGTTCTTCATTGGGATTATTGACCAGGTGTATTCAAGACCATTTAGCATCGCAAATAGTGCTTTTGTGTGGCAGTATCATTATCAGTTTCATTATGTCAATCATCACTTCAGAATGTTGAAGGTACTGTCACGCACAACTGTTCATCCAATTCTTGAAAGCCCTTTCACGGTCTCGATCCATTATTCATTCAATTGAAAAATGTTTGTTATTGAAGTGAATCATTTGAGTATTCAATCGTGGATAGAATTTCATTAAATTGTATCATGGGTTGGTAATAGATTCGCTAGACCACATTGCATTCTAAATATTTAGTAATCCTATTCTTTCACTTCAAAAATAATCCTCATTTTTCGAAAATATTTGTACATATTGAAAACAGGTAAGAATCCCTTCAAATTACCAGACTCGTAGAGAAAAGACGAGTGGAGTGTTTAGTCATTTCTCAAATCATAAGAAGGGACAAATCATGATTTTTCACTGATGATGGAGGAAAAATTCGTAAACAATACTGTTATACTTCTAATATATCTCCGTTTTGCACCAGTCACTGAAACTTCTTCACTCATCAAGAGAAAAATGAAAATAAAAAGACAATAATAACGCAACAATGAGCTTGGAAGCAGAACAACCTCATTACATTATTTAATTAGAAACTTCTAATCACAAGGAAATTACATCATTCTGAGTTGTGAGAGGGGAGGAAAAAAAAAGTATCGTTATTCATCAATGACCACTAGTCCAGCATACTATCTTATAGTTTGAACATTCGAATTTTATTGAAAATGTACAATCGAAAGAGAATGAATTTTTCGTATTCCCGAGGTTAAGACACAATGATAAAAAATAAAAATCACTTTTGAGTTTGCAAAACATCGTGCACTGCACTTTAGTAGGGCTTGAGAATATAGCGCAATCCCTACTAATGCCCAGAGTCTAATTATTTCCCAATAATTAAGATTTAATTTTTCATGATTCATATTAGTTTTTGTTTTGTCGCAAATTTAAGTTCACATCATTAATTCGTTAATAATAAATTGTTTCCTTATTTGATAACTTTATACATGCTATGTATAATTATTATGCAATGGTTAAAGTCACACATGTAGTCATACACACCTGGCGAACATTGCTAATCGCAACGAGATGTTATTAAATAATGCAAGGCAGGAGGAAAGAAACAAAATTCATTAATCTGTCACTGAGAATTCGATAATCCATAAAGAAAAATTGTCTTTGCATAATTCACCTATACATCGAACAATTGAGCGGTGCTGTGCCTCGGGATCCATGATTATTCACTTTTGTATTACGTATTTACGCACCGCTATTTCAATTAATCTTTCATTCAACCCTTAAACTACAATTTCTATATTAATTTTTCACTTAAAATTCGTCTGCCAGACTCACACCTCTGCTACGACACTTTTTTTTTCTATTACACATTTAAATTAAATCGGCTTGTCGTTTTATTAGTTTTTTTCTTAATTTGCTCCAAATTGTTTCATTTCATTTTGTGTTTTTCCTTTTTTTCCTTTGAAATTAAAAACTCAGTCACGCGCACTATGTGAGAGACATTCGTCGATCTACAAACGCAATTTGATTTCAAAAATGTAAAAAAATCATCACCCCCACAAATGTCCATTTTACACTATTTAAATACAATAGAGCTTTTTCCTTATCATTTCTTAAATAAGTTTTTTTTTTATTTTTTTTTCGTTTTTTATTTATTTTTTTAGTCATTATAAAACTGTTCCGTGAAGAAAGCCAGATGGCGACAAATACCAAGGAGTTTGACAAATTAATTTACGTTCGAATGAAGAAATTAAACAGTAAAAAAAAAATTAAAAACGTTATACATATGTATACATATATATAATCGTCGTGATATTCGACGTAATGCTAAGATGTAGGTGCATTTTTTTTCTCTAATGGTGGAAAGCTCCAACATAATCAGGTTGTCACTGAATATTTCGAAGAGCATTCAAAGAATTCGCTTCATCAATTATTTTGGAGCAATTGAGACTTTATTGATCTTTGTCATTTTTTATTAAAAAAAAAAAGAATTTCTCGTCACAATATCAATGATTTTCAGAATCTGTATTTGGTGATGGCTAGAAGGGAGAGGGGGCCAGAATTGCAATGAGCCAAGGGTTATATTGTTGCAGGTGTGCTACAAGACTCGAGTCAGCCCGCTACAACTCTGGCATGAGTTGCATCATTGGATTCATTTTATTATGTACTCCTTCTAGTGTTTGTAATTATTATTTTTGTTTCAGCTATTGATTAGGAGGACTTGGGCGAAGGCGTCAATTTTTCCTTTATTTATTTCCTTTTTTTTCATAAATCGTTATTGTGTTTATTTACTTTATTCGCTAACCAACCGCTCAATATGAGAGTAAGTGTTTTTGCTTTTTGTGAAAAGATTGTCGGTGAAATTCGACGATGGCGCCATCTGCCTCCCCTTCTTACTTACTTAACATTTTTATTTTTTGTTTTGTTTTTTTTTTCACCAGTTTATTTGTTTTTTCTTCATTATGCGTCTTCCTCGTCGTCTTCTACTTCACCCTCCACTTCACCTTCAGCATCATCGTCTTCTTCTTCTGTGGAGAAAAATATATTTTAATTAATGATGATACTCCGCATGGAGTGATAACAAGCTGTTCGAATGGGATTGGCTGGATTTATTGATTTTCAACTCACCTTCACCATCATCGAGGTCCTCTTCACCCTCCACCTCGTCGTCACCTTCCTCTTCATCACCATCTACCTCCTCCTCTTCATCTTCAACGTCCTCATCAATCTCCTCCTCCTCAACATCTCCATCACCATTTTCCTCCTTCTTCTGTTTTTTCACGTCGTCAGTTTTATCCTAAAAATCAAAAACCTAATTAATAAACTGTTGAGTCGTGCTATATAAATGGCTCATGACTTAATATAGTGGAAATGGTGCTCACGGAAGTGGAAGGTGTCGTGAATCAGGTGCAGGTGAATGTTTTTCGGTCTTATTTTATCGCAGGCACAGTTAGAACATGTTAGATGGCAAATTCATGATTTTTCAATGGGAAAATTAGCATTGATTCATTCCAATCAACATTCAAACATGAGTTCATCTGTTAAATTGGAATGGAATCAGGTGGCATGCCATGCCATTCAATAATTATTTTCCAAACCGGGTGTATCTTGACACTCTGCCCCACCGGCCCTTCAATGAGAACAGAAAAAATTGTACCCATTGGCAGGTGTTTTATCCAAACCTGGCACAGCACAACGGTGGGGGATGATGCCTCGGCTCACATAAAAGTTTGTTTTGGGGGAGGTAAGCTCGAACAGGCGCGCGTGCCTGATGCAGCCGTGCCTCCGGAATGTCGGAAGTGGAAGGAAAAAAGAAGGTAGAAAATGTATCTTGACATTAGGTGTTTTTCCTTCCAACTTACAAATGCTTTCTCGGACCAGTTGACCGTTAAAATAAGCATTGAAGATTTAACAGAACACGTGAAAAGATACCGCTACAATTTGATACGGAGAATTGCTGAGCAACTTATGCAATTGATTTTTTTTTTTTTTTCAATTGTTAACTGAAAAAAGTGGCGTTAGACGCCAGTGTTGATACATTGGCGTGGAATACAGAATTTAATAATTCTCGAACAACACAACGATTACGTATCAACCAGTCACTAATCACAAGGTCTCGAAGAGATAACCTAACGTTTTCGAATTCATCTTACAGATTTGTTTTTCGCTCAGTGAGCATAAACTGCACGATTAATGAGCAAAGAAGCCTATAAAAATTGACTGTTAAAATTTGTCAAGCACTATTCTTGTCATCTATGAATCGGCATTGGGTTACGATTAGCTCGGTTATCTCAATTACATCAATCAACTACACAATATAATAATGCAGAATGAATTAATCAAATTGTTCAAATTCAAAAGCTGTTATTTAATCTAGAATACAACAAACCTTTTTATGGAAAATTAGGAAAAGAAATGAGAGCATCAATAGTATCATTGTGAACGATAATAGTGCGTGCAATCGAGGGGTTTTATGATATAATCGAACACGGCGAGCAAGTTCTAAAATTAAAGTCGAACCTCCTTCAACCCAACACCCGTTTGCTTCCCGCCGTTTATTCAAAAGTACGAAGGAAAAGGTAGAGGAATTCGATTATTTTCATCGAAAAGCATTAATAATCAACTAATTCTCTCATATCATTCACCACAAAATGCAAAATAAAGAGATATCCCAATGTTTATTCAATTATTGATGTAATTCAAGAGGTGAATGGATGAAGTGTTGATTACGGCGGAACAACGGCAGCACCGGCACGTTTGGATTTCAACCCGCTGATCTGTTATTTCAGTGGGTAAATCTGCAAACTGTATTATCCAACTGCTTTTCCATCAATTTCGGGAGGATGCCATGAGCTTCCTCCGTAAATTCTAATGACAATTCCTTTGCCACTAGAATTTCCACGACAATGAGAAAAACATGGAGCTGAACACGAATTCAATCAAATGATTATCTTGAATTCCATCACTTTTACTTTTGACCTCAAAGTAAATTTCAACCCATCACATATCCACCCCCAATATTTACCCTGACGAATAAAAGAGTGGAAAAAATGAGGTCACTAGTATGCTTCAATGCCCGAAATTTTCCTCTCATTGACGTAGCTTTTTTTCCATTTCCATCGTCAATGGGTTAATACGTGTCTGAGACAACCCGTCTCCCTCTCTCTTTTCCTTTTTAACCCATCGATCGTATGAAGTACGATTGAAGTAGCGCTGTGTTTCCGTATCATACAGTGCAAAAGAGGGAAAGAGGAATAGGTGGGTTTGGGTGGCACGCGTAGTTTCTCACACCGCTTCTAAAATATGGCTTTTCTGGCTTTGGTGGAGGAGAGACTATAACACATTGATGGTAGCTAAAGAGAGAAGCGCGCGCGTACAAGTGAAACGAGAAGCCGCGCCGGTTCCACGTGACGTACCTCGGCAAGGCAAAGATAAGTGGGGGAGGGGGGGGGGGGGGGGGGGGGGGGGGGGGGNAAAAAGCGAGACTGACTATAGTAGATACTATGGGTAAACGTCGACGCGTTAGTCAATTCCCTTGAAATTCCTCCGGGAAATTTCAATAGAATACAACTAATAATAATCTCTCCCTCTGATGATCATCTCAACAATCTCAAGCACATTGATTTTGACTATTTCTCCACAGATCTAGAGGTTTACAAAAATCAGTGGGAACAAGTGACGCGATGTTTTCTCGAAAGTTCGTAAAGTAGCAGGCCACACAAGAGAGGGAGGGAGAATGAAAGAGACACTAGTGAATACGAGAGAGGGAGAGAGAGATAATGTGGAGTAGACGGAGCAGGCAAGCGCGCGAAGCGCCGACATCATAATACATGGCGTTGCCGTTGGCCTGCTTGTAACGGGGAGGAGAAGGGGGGCTCCCGCCTGTCTCTCTCTCTCACTCTCTCTCTCTCTCTCTCTCTCTCTCTCTCTATTTCTCTCTCTTGCTACCTCTCTTTCGAGTACATGTTTGATGCTGTTTACCGAGAAAAATGAATAACAGAAGTGATGATAAACTATTTTGAATTTTGATAGAAGACAAAACGCCATTAAGACATTCGATTATTCTGGAGTAAAATATTTTGGTGCTAAATATTGATTCATAGAAGCAGCAGAGTCGCAACAATACAATGATAAATTACGTGCTTTCAAAGCAAATAACCGGGGAAATTGAAACCATCGGAAAATTTTTGGGGGAGTCGGCCATGATTGGGGGAACTGAGGTCCACTCGAGTGCCGGAAGGAAAATGCGCGGGAGATGCCAAAATACGGGCACCTCCTCCGATACAGTTCGAAGTATAATAATAATAGGGAACCGAGGGGGGAGGTGAAAAAATACATTTATGACAGCGATGCCACGAAAATGGCGGATTCGATCAGCGCGTCTGAAAACATGGTGGTATAAACGCCGATGAAGGTTTCTAAATGGTTCGGAAAAGATACGAAAAAAAAAATGAAATGGACGCTGTTTTGTTTCACATCGACACAAACAGCACTTTTAGGTGAGCACATGGCGGACAGTACGAGGACAGAGTGGAACAGAACGGAGACGGCGCTGTTGTTGCTCCAAAATAGAAAATTATGGTAAACGATTGTGATCTCACGCGTCGATTGATACAGTCCGGGGATATATATATTTTTCATTGATTAGAGTTATCTGGTTCTCGATAGATTCCGATTTGGGGGCTAATGAGAATGTGAGATTGGTAATTATAGACGAAAGCATTGTGACGATTGTAGAGAACGTATACCTCAGGGGTGATCAACCGAAGCCACGCGACGTTATTTCAATGGCGTCCACTTTGGCGTGTACGACGCATACACGCGTTTTGTCCGACATCTTTATTTTTACATTGGTCTATTTGTTTTTGGTTGGGTATCACTTGGGATGTGTTGAATCATGGAGAGGTTGTAAAAAAAATGAGATTTATGAGAATGTAGTGAGGTCAATGGTAAAATGGTGACTACCACGGAAAATGCCGGCCGGCGTTTGCACACTCGTTTATTCGTCGAGAGACACATGTCGGTTTACCCTTTTAATTCATTAAATCATAAATACTCCACGATGCTCTATGCTCAACACACTTTCAGCAGAATTGAATATTTTTCGCCAAGTATTTATCACCCACGCGAAGGAGGGAATCACAATAGAGAGGACGAATGAATGAGAATGTTAATGTCGAAAAATAAAATAGAGTTTATCGAATGGAGGTAAACCAACGTCACTGGGGCGTCCCAGTATTTTTCCCGCTTGAATCGGCGACAGATATTTTCCATTGGTCAATGTGAAAAACCCATAAAAATAGGAGAAATTGGATCTGTTTGAGTTGAGGATAACGATGGGATAATGAGTTGATTGCAAAAACTTACCTCAGCCGCCCTCTTGATCCCTTTCAGGTCGCACTTCGCGTCCCCGGACGCCTTGTCGTTTTCCGTCGCCTTCTCAACGGCAACCTCGTTGTTTTCCTTGGTACTCATTGTTGGTTTAGTTTTTAAATTAATATTAATTTGTGAGATTGAATTAAAGTGTGCGCTGATACACGACACGAGTACAGTGGTACTTGGGTTTAAGGTTTATTAATTTCAGCGCAGAAAACAACTCGAGTATTTTTTTTTAAGTATTGGTGTCGGCACGAAGCGCGTAAACGTGTAATATGGGCGCGTAAAGAGAGAACCTCGAGGTGAGTGAGTCAGAGAATACGGTGCGTCCTCGCGCGACGTCGGTTTCCGGCGAAATGCCCGAGAGAGCAGCGTCGTCAGGCGAAACCCAACCACCAGAGTGGTGGGGATGGGTGAGGGTAGGGGCGGTGAGAAGCGCGGACGAGTGTGTCGGCAGTGGGGGGAAGGGGAATAGGCACAGGGACCCGAGTGGGAGAATGAGTGAGCGAGGCTAAAAGGGATACTGAGAATTAATTGGTTGGAGTGAGATAGATGTGAATACGATGACGAGCCGACAAGAATGTTGGCTTGTCTCTTGATATCAAAAAGGTGATATCCCAATTTCTGGAGAATCGAGGTGGCCGTTTACTTTTTTATGATTTTAGGTTTCAGGGATGGAGATTAGTTTTTTAGAAAGTTTTTTTGTTCAGATTTTTAACAAATTGTTATGCACTCGACGCTTACGTGCGGTCGTCTCAACTTGGCTTTGTTCAAAAATGAAGATGGCGCGGGTTTGAAACTCGATAAATCGCTGATTGGCCAAATCAAATTGTCAAAGTTACTTGATTATTAGTTTATGGATGAAATTATTGTTGTAAAGTTTGATTGACCATTGATATGGAGATTAATTTGGGGGACAGCGAAGTGGTATGATTTATCGGTGAAATTAAAACGATTGATGGGTGAGGGGTTCGAGAGTTCGGGGCCGAAGTGGAATGTCCGGTTCGAGGCTATGGAATTGTCGCCTTTTGGATTCAAAATGCATTGGGGCAGGCTACATCGGCGCTGATTGTACTGATCATTCTTTTGACGGCCTATATCAAGTGGTCAATTTGTTTGAGATGAGGAATATTCTGTTCTGATTTTTTGGCTGGAAAATAGGGGCTTTTTGGATTTTTTGATTGGGCTTTGACTTTATTCTCACTGGAGATAATTTTACGAGGCATTTGTGGCGGTATAGGTGGCGTTGGGATCGATGGACGATTGAATATTACGATGGCCTTTCAAAAATAATACTCTAAGAATGCACTGGAATGTACACTTGTGATTGGCATTAGACGCAACCTTCGCCCTTTTACCGTTTCATAAATTATAGAGTCCTTGAGGAGTTTGGATGGAATTTAAAGTCATTTTTAGGGGCTGAATGCGAGCAATAACTGAATCCGGATTTTAAATTATGCATTGTAGCGGCATTAGCATGATAAACATCCCAAAAAAATCAAATCTCTGCCATTTCCAGAGTGATGAACATTTGCACGAAATGATGTTTCGGCTAGGAAAAATCGTCAACTATCAGGAATGACAGATTGAGGAGCTGTTACGCCTATCAATCAAAAGCAGAAAACGTGCGAAAATAATTCCGTAGCTAAGAAGTTGAGCGCCAGGTTATGTAGATGCGCATGCGCCCTTCAATGGCCACCGTACACCATCCGGTCTGGCTTGATCATTTCCTTTCCTTCTAAACATCCAAGATGGTAGGTGAATCGTGGATTTTTCAATTCCGGGTTTTCATCCATATTTATCAACATCATCGTTAATATTATCACAGTTATAATTGCGAATGTTTGATGAGCGTTTAACGGGCGCTCTTATTGTGCTAATATTTTTCTACTGGTTTGAACTTCACGCTTTCACTGACATAACCTGCGCACATAACCTATCATAATTATGTGGTCCAAATTGTTTATTTAGAACATTCTCCGCCGATATATTGAAGACTTATTTAGATATTAATTAGATAGTGAAGATTAAAGTAGACAACGGAAAAATAGCTGAGTGAAATTGATCTGTGATGTATTAATTAATTTTTTGGAAAAATTATTCTGTATTTTGTTGAAGATGATGACAGAAAGTTATTGAACGTCAATGATAACGTTGGTTTGTTTAATTACAGGTGAATGTGCCTAAACAGAGACGCACCTTCTGCAAGAAGTGCAAGGTCCACAAGCCCCACAAAGTTACTCAGTACAAGAAGAGTAAAGAGAGGCATGCTTCACAGGGTCGTAGACGTTATGACCGTAAACAACAGGGATTTGGTGGACAGACTAAGCCTATTTTCAGGAAGAAGGTATGTAGGGTGAACAGAGGCCAATTGCTGGACGGTTAAAGGAAATTCGAGTGTCGTGATAGGATCTAAAATAATAGAATCACTTAAATGGGGATATGATGGGTTCCATATCTTCAAGAATGTTCTAATTAGCCGACAAAAATTATTTGAAGTGAAAATCACAAAACAAAGAATAATGAAATTGAGAAAAAGTTGAATGCAGTCGAAACCTCTAATTTCTGGACGACTGGGCCATTTTTTAAAAAATTTATTAAATGTCCATCAATAGAAAAAATAATTGATCACATGATTATACACGAGGAATATTATTGAAAGGTGAAATAGTCAGTACAATTTTCATTTTATTCATATTCAATGCAAGTTGGAATCGTCCAGAAACTAACCCCCATCCAGAAATTGACCTGTTTGCTCTAGTCATTTTATAGATTTCCTATCTACACAAAAAAAATTTCATTTCTCCCTGGTTTTTTTCGAAGAACATGATGGATTATTGATTTTTATGCATCATTTTTTAGGCTAAGACTACCAAGAAAATTGTGCTGAGGATGGAGTGCACCGAATGCAAATACAGGAAACAAATCCCTCTGAAGCGTTGCAAACACTTCGAGCTTGGAGGTGACAAAAAGAGGAAGGTTAGTATGAATTCGATAGTGAAGTGAAAATCGTGACAAATGAGATGCCCCACATCTTGTTGAATATATGCAATTCCTTCCGTAATGAGTGATTTTAGAAAACAAAAAATAATAATTGAAGAGGTAACCGACTCCTTGTGTCTGTGGGATTTTCACTTGTTTTCTTTTATAATTGTTGATTTTTATGAATGGAAAAATTTCAGGCACAATCTAGTTTTGAAGAGGCTGATTTTTTTGTATTAAAAAAATTAACAATTATGAACACTCGGACCATTCTAAAATTCCACACGTGCAAGGGAGTTTGTTACCACTTGAGGCACTTCCTCAGTTATTTATGGATGGTGAACATTTCGAAACGTGCCATGGACTCATTTGGATCATGTGCACATTCAAAAACAATTTTGTAATTTCAATCTTTTGTCCATGCCATGTTTGAAATATGAATAGTCGAAAAAAAAAATTGAATGTTTGACAATGGATATCTCAAAAATGGCGTGAACAAAATCCATGAATTTTTGGTAATGATTTTTTAACATACACAATAATATGTAATCCAAACTTTCTGTCTGTAGCACATTGCAAAATTTCGAATAATTCAGACTTGTGAAGGTTTAATTTGTTTTCTATAATTCGATAAAAACAAAAATCAAATCTCGCAGTTTACGGAGTTGTTTTTTTAAATTGCACTTGAATTATACATGTTCACTTGTACAGAATGGCTTCAACAGTTACGAGTTTGAGTCGTGCAATGTAAAATTCAGATTGCACAATCTGTAATTAAGTTGGTAGATTTAAATTGGGTATAATTCAACACGTATATCGTGTAATTAGAATTTGGGGATTACAATTATGTAAACAAGGTTTTGACGCAAATTAGCAAGGGTTTAAAAAATAGAGGGGCTCTTTTGGGTGTAATATATCACTCTGTCAAGAAAATGCTCTTTCGGTGCGAGAGTATGTCGAAAAGAAATGTCAAGAGACATCAATACATAATATAAATACATGATTCAGCACAGTGGTATATTTGGCTTGTCACGCTCTACATCACTACAAAATAGTTTTATTTCATAAACATTCCTATAAAACTCACTCCAAAATGTTTTTTTTTCTTCATTTTACAGGGTCAGATGATCCAGTTCTAAGCTGATATCTTGGATATACATTGTATTAAAAAAATCAATAAATTCTCAAGAATTTATAAACACCTGTTTATTATTTATTAATTTCATTGAGTAAAAAAATACACAAACGATTGATTTATTCGTCTTGACGTGCGTCTGGAGCAGCTTTGGGTATTTGTCGTTGGGCATCACTAAAAGGTAAAATGTTCGATTAATTCTGGATTTCGATATGCCTCCATGCAAATAAATGAATTAAACAAATGGAAATAAATTGTACTCGAGGAGAGATGGATCGAGGCCTTCCTGGGTCATTTTTTGTTTCACAGCTGGCTTCGGAACTCCGATGTTGACCATTTTGAAGTATTTTTCATAGAGTGGGTGTTTGCTAATTGGTTGAAGCTCCGGAGATTGCACTTCTGGTTCCGGTTGTACTTTTATTTCTTCGATGGTTTTGTCTAGCTCATCGATGTCCACTGGCACGTCTTGTTTCTCTGGCTCTATCTGTAGTTTATTGTCAGTCTCAACATTCTTAGGATCACAGGCGGTTCTTTCGAGGGGGGTGGAATCTAGTCCAGGGATTGATGCAAGCTGAAAGGAAAAAAATGAATGACTAGAAAATAAAGATTTTCGGAAATTCGATTTCTTTCATGTTCGAGGGTAATTCTATAATTTTGGAGACTGGTGAGGGAGCTTTTGGAACCAATATATCTGATGATTAATAAAAGTTAGTTGCAGGAGCTTCGACCTAGTTAGTTAAGGTATGCTGCGATGATGATCAAAGACTTTATAAATGGTTAGATCTCACCATTCTACTCGGCCGGGTTTTGAACTCGGAACCTTTCGCACGTGAGGCAACAAACTTACCCACTGCGCCAAGCCGCCGGACAATAACAAGTTATTATTATTATTATTGCAAAAAATATTGGGTGTCCGTGTTACCCCACTATGCGTTTCAATTTCCCTCTGAAAAAACGAAAATTACTTACTCGAGATTCAAGAATTACCAGAGAAGCCTCTACCCTCTGCAGTTTATTTTCAAATTCAAAAAGTCGTTCTTCGCAATTTAACGCGAATTTATTCAAAAATGATACTGTATTGACTACAAAATGATTTATAAATGATACAGTGCGTTTCTGGTGAATTGGTGGGACCTGCCAAAAGAAAAATGCATGGATTAATGAGGGCAATTGTAGCGATAGAGATTTCCGATCAATCAGCTTTGATTAAAGTTGATATACAAATAAATTTGACGATTATTTAGTGAATTTTCAATTGATACCTTTGTATAATCTACAGTAGGCTCTACTATCGGAATACGACTATCGTTCATGATGACTGTTTCCTCTCATTCCCCTTTAGGGAATTCGGAATTCTATCAAATATCTTAAAAATGTAAAAACAATCCAATAATCATCGAGAACTGTTTTCACTTTCCATAGCACCTGCTGTCAACAGTAATGAAAAAGAGGAGTATAATCGATTGCAGCGCTTGATATTGACAGTAGCATGAACTTCAGTGGTTAGCGCCAACTTTGAAACTGGAAACATCTCTTTTTGTCTCCAATCGAAATGAAAAACGATATTGGAATGATTTTATTCTTTACTGAAATTAGTTAATCGATTTTTCAACACTTTTTTTCGCACTGCTTCGCGCTGAGAATTTGATAGATTTGTGTCGATTTTCGGTGGAACCCAACTGTAATCTGGTAAACGAGACGACAATCTTCTTCGTGATTTATTAGAATAACTTCCGGATACATTTGCAGTAATAGATCTGTAATGAAAAACATGATCTATGATAGGAAAAATCATGCGGCGGTACCACAGAGTAAACATTTTCTAGTTTCCAGAAAATTTTTCGAATTTTGGAACAGTGCCATACTGAAATATAACAAGCAAAATATTCTGGAAATAAGTGGAATTTTCACTTATTGTAAGAAAATTTTCTCTAAGAATTAAGTTTCTCTAAGAATTAATTTTTTTCAGCCTGACGAAACATACTATTTCGAGTGCGTTACTTTCCTCTGAACTTTGTGCACTCCGTGCAGAAAACAAACACTTCACACAAACTAAACCGCCCCGAAAAGTGAACTTTTCAGGTAGGTGTTACAATAGCATATTTCAGGACAAGTGCCATGGGGTTTTTTACTCGCGTCCGGGCCGAAGGCGAGGAACGATATTTTTCCGTAGTGATTTTCACTTTTACGAGTTTGGGGAAGGGCCATTACCAATCCCCGGACGAGAAAAAGTGAAGGTCAGTACGGAAAAAAAGGTTTTCTGTCATTTGTCACTCGAATCTCTTATTTTTTTCCAATAGAAATTTAACTCTACAAATTTTAAATTTGTAAAAAAAAACTTTACAAATTTAACTTTAATTTAAGAATGTAGAATTTTAAGTATGACTTTTAGCCACTATAAGACGGATATAATTATTTCAAATTAATTTACATTGAACTGTCATCGATTTCAGAGTCTCGTTCACTGATTCTTGGTAGGTTGTCTCTTTCCTCAGTCTGCGTGGAAGTTGTTGCTCTACGCACCTGTGATATTTGTGATAATAAATCACTTCCATCCCAACAAGGATCCTGAGTTATAATTTGATTAAACTCAAATTTGACTTATTTAATTTGAGAATTTATCTCACCGACATTTCATCCTTCCAGAGTCTCATCATATCCAAAACATTCGACGACTCTGTACTCACGTGTCCAGATGCTCCCTTTCCGTAAAAAAACTACATATGATTCTATAGTAAAGTAGTCAAAAAAGATGAGTGAAAAATTCACTTGCAAAATAGTCAGTGATGCCGCGAGACATTTCACGAGATAGCACGAGACAAAACTTTGGAGAGATGATCTCGGTCTCAATGAACATGGAAATCTTTGCTCTCGTCTCAGTTTCAAAACGCAATATCGACTTCTTTAGTAATGATTCCGAGTCAATTTATCTCATCTCGGTTTCCGGTTTTTCGCGTTTTTTATGTGTCGAAACCCGAGACGAGACAAACCGAGACAAAAACCGAGATTTTACATTTAAACACCCGAAAAACTTAAGACAGAGATGAGATAAATTGACTTGGAGTCATCACGAGAGGAGTCGATACTGCCTATTTCGACACTGAGATGAGAGCAAAGATTTTCATGTTCATTGAGACCGAGATCATCTCTCCAAAGTTTTGTCTCGTAAAGTGTCTCGCGGTATCACTAAAAATACTTCATGGATATCTTCGAAATAAAGAAGTTGGCAAGAATTTGCTGTGAGTCTTTGTTTTTAGCGTTTGAAAGTTTTCTGTAGCTCATTTTGCGACGGAAAACGTCGAACTGTCAATTTTGTAACTTGTTTCTTTTCAAGATATCTAAAAAATAATACACGAACTAACTTTGAACTCATTGCGCTTGAAGAGATCCAAGTACCATTTACAGTTTGGTGCGAACCATACGATAGATTCAGAGATTTTCGATAATTAAATTGGGCCATTAAATTAATTGGGCGCGAGAAAAACGAAAAACAAGTGGGAAATTGGTCTTGTATTGCAGATAGTATAGTTATTTTTACTTTGTGCACTTTTCAAGCAGGTATCACAAAAAAATGAATAAAATCGTTACAACGTATCCGGAAACGTATAGAGTTAAACGGGATTTCACTAGAATTGTTGGACCACATTCTTTTCAACGAAAGAAAAAGTGGCCAAAGTACTTGGATATCCTCAACTCATTGATAACTAAATCAATAATAATTGGTTCAGTAACGAAAATTCTCTTCTGTAGATAACAAGTATATTTTAATAAACCGATATCCAAGGATGATGATTGACTTCAGCAGCCGTTATTCGAAAAGCAGGATTCCTCTCCAGCAGTTTACTGAGTAAATGTTTCCCTTCATTAGAACACTGGAGAACTTGGGAGAAATTAACGATTTATTTATGGATTATTCACTGTATCTTTCTATATTATTGAGACCGTCAAAAATATTCACCGGAGTAATCGACATCCGCTGTAGTAATGAGTTTGTACAACTGCAGTTCATTGTTCGAAAAAAATGGAAATTTGCCAGTCAGGAGAACGTACATTATTACACCCATAGACCAGACGTCGCACTGTTGACTGTATGACTTGGTCGTCACCATCTCAGGTGCTAGTTTCAAAACTCCATTCATTTTAAGGGGCCACCGCAGTTGGTTTGAAAAAAACGAGAAAGTGCTAACGAACTCTATTTTTCACATGATAATCATTAATGAGTGGAAGAAATTATTTACAAAAATGCAGGAGTTTCATCGTTGTTTTTATCGTTTAATTAATGAATCAAAATCGGCTTTTATGTACCAGGAAATATAGAACTTCGAAGATTTCAGCAGTTGCCCTACATTATTGAACAGTGGACAAGACAGAAAAACTGCTAAATCACCAGCCCTTCAATAATGAATTACTAAATCTAATTAACACTCCATTGGTCGCACTGCATTTTTTTCGATTTTTCAAATTACACTGCAGTAAAGCCTCAGAAAAATTGGAAAAAAATTGACATCTCATTTTGAAGTGTCTAGAGGGCCTATCAATGAAAATATCCGCCAAAAATATCATAAGTAATTACATTTTAAAATTTTTATTCCGAAACTCCGGGCCCTGCGCCGCGTATAAGACTAATTTTCAGAAAAACATGGCAACATTGAGCTTGAATATGTAATTAACGGTAACAGTGAACATAAAAAATCTCACGGGGCCTTTTCAAGCATACGATCTAGATCACTTGATTTTTTCAGATTTTTCTTAGATCTTTCAAATTTATCGTCATGTCGATTTACGCTGATGCCGCGCGACGCTTCGATCCGGTTCGCCCCGGTTGGGGTATGTTGCGATGATGATAAAGACTTTAAATGGTTAGATCTCACCATTCTAGCCGGCCGGTTTTTGAATTCGGAACCTTTCGCATGCGAAGCAACGAACTTACCCACATTCGTAAATTTTTCGCAATCAACGAAGTGTTCAGTACTAGAACCCACGATTTTTTAAAATAACAATAACAACTCTAGATTTCGCAGATAATTCCGCCTACCCATTAATAATTATTATTTGACAAAGTCAGTTAATTGGTACCTTCCGAGGGGCTACTCACTCCGTAATTAAGTAAAGCTGTCTTCATATATAACTGGGTTAAATATTAACGAGACTAAACATTAATCGAGTCATGAGCCTGATGTAGCTAAAATAATTAGCGAAACGTCGCAAAATGACAATTAGATAAATGTTGTTTTCATTTTTGTCTAACATCCCTTGAAATTGTGTAAATATTTGTAAGCAAGTTGCATAATTTATTTATGAGAAGAAAATTTAAAAAAAGATATTAATATTCTGCAAAATGTAATTTGGATGATACTAATAAATATGAATTTTTCTATCGTTTCAACAAATTATCAACAGTTCTTTGGGAAAGTCAAGTCTTTTAAAGGTATTTCCTCTACTCTCCATGGAGTGGGGATAGTTCGGGCACGTGACGATCGTTTCGTAGAGTCTCATTGAATTTATGAACATTATGCTGGTTTTTAAAGAAGAGAAGAGTTCCATTTCACTGTCTTACTATTTGTTCTACGATAAAAATGTAAATTAGCGTGATCACTGGACGGGTTCGAACACTTGTTGAGTCACCCTCCATAGAGAGATAAAATATCAAGGATTATCCCCACCCATCATATTCTAAAAGACCACGAATTTTTCTTCATGTTTATCCTCAAGTTACTAAATTCCGAGATAACAGAATTCCTTATTCGGCTTGTCAGATTTACCACTTCAATGCAGAATTATCGATTGACTGATTTACCCATGTATGTGATAGTGCCGCAAAAATCGTGAAGCATATCGTCGTGCCCAGGACCATTTCTCATGGCGCTCAGTCCAAAATCCGTTATTTTTATGTACAATTGGTCCTCTGGATCGACGGGATTTTTAGTTATCAAGATATTTTCTAGCTTCAAATCACGGTGGACAATATCTAAAGGGAAGAACGTCAACTTTATCCGTTGCGGAAATTTTCTGGCATTTTTTAATACCATTTTTATGGAGATATCCGAGGGCACATGCCAAATTTTTTATGACGTTCATAGTTTCTATTTCTGCGAATTGTTTCTTCTCCCTGAAAGTTTTTGCTAAAGAGCCGAGGCAAATTTCGAATACTAGATAAATTACCTGTAAATTAAATAATGCATTTGTTTATTCATTCACTGTAGACTCCAGTGTAAAATGGTGAGGGACAGGATGAATACAAAATGGATGTACAGATTATTTTGAACATATTCCGGAAAACAAGTGATCTTGAGGATTCCGTCAAGGGATCTGCCTGATAGAAAAATTTAGAAACTACTCCAGGGAAAAAGATCGGACTGCGCACGAGCCGGGACGAGACGAGATTTTCCAATGTCTCGTCTCGGTCTTGGATTAAAGAGAAATAATTGATATCGTCTGTCTTGTACACTTTAGTCTCGTCTCGTTTTGGTCTCGAGAAATATATGAGATATTCCACCCCAAATGAGTCACCCGCTGCCCTCCGTACCCCTCTTGAAAATTAATGGATATTTTTTATACGATTAGGGGGGTCAAAAAACTATTTCTCAAACTTTCAGATTTTTTTTTTGACAGCCCAGTTCGAAGATATGAATTTTTTTTACTTCTCCATTTTTTCCCAATAACTCGAGTTCAATTTTTCCGGTTTTTATTTATGACACGTCAAAATTTTCCATTAAATTTCTTTTTTTCGATTCTTAGATGCTCATAATAACGAATTTTTGAAAAAAAAGTTGAAAAATTTGAAGTTTGCAAATTACGTAACGATTGATTTTCAAAATTTTTTTTTCAGTAATTCGTATAATCTAAACAAGTATTTTGAGCCATCATTCAAGTTGCGCATTCTCCTGGATTTATTTAATTCTCAATTTTTCCTTTTTGAAATTTCGTAAATTTGGTCAAAACACCCCAAAATCACGTCCACCGAGGGAGGAAAACAGGACATTCTAACCCGCGTGTGGATTACCGCCCGAGGTTTCCTTTCTAGGTATACATACCATTTTTCGTCATAACTGCACAGTATAGTTCGATTTTTCTTCGCAAATGCAGGGAGGAACGTGGGGGATGTCATTCCGCAGATCGTCAAAAACAAAAAAAATCCGAGGAATGAAAAAAGCCACTTTCCGCCCGTCATTTTTGGAGGAAAATCGAACTTTCCGTGCAGATATGAAAAAGTCTTATTTGACGAAAATGACTTTATAATCCGAGCCGAAGATGTAGAGCACATGGGTCAGAAAAATATGCAATTTTCTCAACTTAAATAATTTTTGTGATATTCCGAAGTTTGTTCTGTCAGTGTAATGAAAAAATCTTCTGATATTCTTCTCTAAATGTATTTTTATCCAAAATATTTGTACCACAACCTGTGTCAACTTTTCGAATTTATATCCTTAATGTCACTATTCCACTAGAGACTTATTTTCCATGACTACTTACTTTTGGAGATTCGAAGACACAATCTAAGAATATTATATTGGGATGATTGACTAATTTTAGAATGTGAATTTCACGTTCAACCAGGAGTACTCTAGATGCTCCTGCCTATAAAAATATCTAGTCTTACAATATTGAAACTGAACGAAAAATTCAGACATTGAATAAGATAACAAAAAATCGATTGATTCATCATTCAAGTTGTCGTCTAATTTAATAATGAATACATAATCCTTACTTGTCGTTTATTGATAAGCTTAATAGCCCAATAAACCTTAGTTGTTCTATGCTTCGCCTTAACCACTGTTCCGAAATTTCCTCTCCCAATAACTTCCCCAATAAAATAGGTTTTTTGTAAATCCGCAACGTCGGAAATTCGTTTATGCACCAACGTGCGTTCCTTCAACTTCGAAGAACTATTAGAAAAATTGCAGGCACCAAGCATTGATTTATTCGTCAATTATCATCAATTAATCATGGATTAAAAATAATAAAACTACATTTGGACGGCCATTTAAACTCTGACGTCTGATACTACACTGGCATTTGTCACAATAATTCGAATCTTCTCGAAAAACATTCTTTCCAAAATTCAGCAAAATGTAAAAGAACAAGTCCAATTATCACATGTCAAAAATGAAATTATTCCGGTGATGAATAATGCTGAATAAAGAACAACGGGAGACATTTTTTGTCGAAGTTGCTTCCGTTACAAAAATAGTCTTTTGATATTCTCCTATAAAATTACTTCGACCTGATCTTCCAGAAAATACGTAACTCGGTGGGAAACCAACACGGCTCGAGCGTACACTAAGGAATAGTATTTTTCCGTACTGACCTTCACTTTTCCTCGTCCGGGGATTGGTATTGGCCCTTCCCTAAACTCGTAAAAGTGAAAATCACTACGGAAAAACATCGTTCACGACTAGTGCCATGGGGTTTTTTTATTTACGCGGTTGGCCAGTCCTCGCCTTCCGCCCGGACGTCCACGCGAGAAAAAAAACCCCATGGCAATCGCCCTGAAGTATACTATTTCTTGAGAAAAACATCTTTACTTGCATCAAGAAACTCATGGCTCGAAAATTTTCAAGATCAAAAACTCTTACACTCAGAAAAAAAGCGTTCGTCAAAAGATTTGACACTCGTCCTGAAAACGAGGACAATTTGTTAATAAGAAGTAAGTGATTTCTCAACCCAAGTCTAGTTGAATCAATTTGTGCAATAGTTTTCTTCCTCAAATTCAAAATATGTGAATGTGAAAATCCCTTGACTTAGTTTGAGAAGTCGCTTTTTTATCATAGGAAGAAATTACCCTCATCTTTCTGACAATTACCGAATTTCTTGACGGATGTTTTTTTTTCTCAGTGCGAGATATTTTGTTCTTGAAAATTTTCCAGTGATGGCTTTCTTGATACAAGTAAAGACGTACTTCTCAAAAAACTTTTTAGTTCTCATTGTTGGGAGACAAGTCCATAAGAGCTTGGCTGGCAAACCAACTCACAGGTTTGCATTATGATTTACCTCATTTTCCAACTGAGAAACGACCTATGATCCAATTCGGCCGCAGCCGGATAAAAATACATTTCTAGCTAAGGATCGTATTTCCTATTCAATCATAAAAGTGTGGAGATGTTTCAAAAACTGCTCGCTTTTCTCAATATATATAGCTGTGCTCGAGCCGCCTTAACGAATACGTAACTCAATACAAATCTGATGATATACTAGTACGAGAAATTATGATTACTCATTCAACGAAATAGGTTTATCTTCAATCGATGTATATAGGATGCAGTATTTAGAAGAAAATAGGCAATCTTTCCTACATAGATATTTCTTTGACCGGTATCTAGCGAAAATTTTGTTGAGTTACGTCTTTTCATCTTATTTTCTCGAGTTATGTCAATTCTTCTAAGACAAGTCAACTCGTTTCTGAGATCAATGCAAAGTCAACAGCACTGTGAAACTTGACTTCTTCTTTTTCTATAAATCTACATATTTCCATGATTTAAAAAATTATAAACTTTTTTTAAGTCTAAAAAATGCCGGAAACGTGTTTGTCATTTCCCTTTTAAAAGTTGATTTGAAAAAAATTACAGTTAAAAATTGTATTATTATTATGTGTCTATACAGGAAATAAAATAATTCTTCATCGTCAAAATTAATTCATAAAACCTTTCCGAAAGTTCAATGTACAAAGATATATAGTAATCATCCGATTTATTGGTTTGACTCCAATAATTTAATCTCGTCCAAGACATCTTTTTTCCTCGCAACTTTATCCGTCATCTCTTTCTCCGGATTCTTTATTTCGCCACTCTTGATTTTCCCCTCGAGAGTCTCAATTTCTCTCAATTTTTTCCTGAGATTCTTCAGCCTCTTCATACTATCACTGAGCAATGATGCGCCATCTTGTCGCGCTGGAGGCGCTGGCTGAGATTTCCCAGGTTTTGCATTCTGCTGAGACTTACTGGGCTCTAGCTCGGTTATAGACGTTTTAGCGATATCCTCAGCGAGGGAATTCACGGCTTTGCTCTTGCTTTTCTTTTTCTTCTTCTTTGGTTCGTTAACCACAATCATACCTGGGATTGGGCATTTCCCGTGTTGTGCATCCACTTTTGCTTTGTGCGCTGCTACGTACTCCGCGGACATTCCCACTGGATAATTTATCTTATTCTTCGAGAATTGTTTCCCCAAACTCTCGTATCTGAAAAGTGCAACAATTAAGTGATGAAGAATTCTTTAATTTCATTCAAGAATTAGTGTTAGTGACGAGATAGCGTACAAAGGGACTTCTTCTTGCGGAACGTAGCCATCCTTTACTCTTCTTGGTTTCCTCCATGAACCGTCAGGGCGCTGGCTCGCTGGAATAAATGTTCCTCCTGAAATTTTTACCTTTTTATAGACAAAGAAAAAAGTTCCTCATTTCTAGAACCAAGTTACTGATTTTTCAAATCTTATGGTTCTAGGTGACATTGTATAGAAAATTTCTAAAAATGGGTATAGGCTATCCAGTAGAAGTTTATCATTCCGAGGGTACCCCCACTCTACGTAATTCCCACTCACGTGCTTGGACCCCACTCCAATTCGTATAATCTAAACAAGTATTTTGAGCCATCATTCAAGTTGCGCATTCTCCTGGATTTATTTTATTCTCAATTTTTCCTTTTTGAAATTTCGTAAATTTGGTCAAAACACCCCAAAATCACGTCCACCGAGGGAGGAAAACAGGACATTCTAACCCGCGTGTGGATTACCGCCCGAGGTTTCCTTTCTAGGTATACATACCATTTTTCGTCATAACTGGACAGTATAGTTCGATTTTTCTTCGTAAATGCAGGGAGGAACGTGGGGGATGTCATTCCGCAGATCGTCAAAAACAAAAAAAATCCGAGGAATGAAAGAAGCCACTTTCCGCCCGTCATTTTTGGAGGAAAATCGAACTTTCCGTGCAGATATGAAAAAGTCTTATTTGGCGAAAATGACTTTATAATCCGAGCCGATTTATTGGCGCTGGCTCGCTGGAATAAATGTTCCTCCTGAAATTTTTACCTTTTTATAGACAAAAAAAAAAGTTCCTAATTTCTAGAACCAAGTTACTGATTTTTCAAATCTTATGGTTCTAGGTGACATTGTATAGAAAATTTTTTAAAATGGGTATAGGCTATCCAGTAGAAGTTTATCATTCCGAGGGTACCCCCACTCTACGTAATTCCCACTCACGTGCTTGGACCCCACTCCAATTCGTATAATCTAAACAAGTATTTTGAGCCATCATTCAAGTTGCGCATTCTCCTGGATTTATTTTATTCTCAATTTTTCCTTTTTGAAATTTCGTAAATTTGGTCAAAACACCCCAAAATCACGTCCACCGAGGGAGGAAAACAGGACATTCTAACCCGCGTGTGGATTACCGCCCGAGGTTTCCTTTCTAGGTATACATACCATTTTTCGTCATAACTGGACAGTATAGTTCGATTTTTCTTCGTAAATGCAGGGAGGAACGTGGGGGATGTCATTCCGCAGATCGTCAAAAACAAAAAAAATCCGAGGAATGAAAGAAGCCACTTTCCGCCCGTCATTTTTGGAGGAAAATCGAACTTTCCGTGCAGATATGAAAAAGTCTTATTTGGCGAAAATGACTTTATAATCCGAGCCGATTTATTGGCGCTGGCTCGCTGGAATAAATGTTCCTCCTGAAATTTTTACCTTTTTATAGACAAAAAAAAAAGTTCCTAATTTCTAGAACCAAGTTACTGATTTTTCAAATCTTATGGTTCTAGGTGACATTGTATAGAAAATTTCTAAAAATGGGTATAGGCTATCCAGTAGAAGTTTATCATTCCGAGGGTACCCCCACTCTACGTAATTCCCACTCACGTGCTTGGACCCCACTCCAAAAATCCACGGATATTCTTCTTGAAGATAGCCTATACTTGATGGGATTGAGTTTGAGGCGATAGGTTTGAAGGAAAATGGCCTCTGAGAGGCTTTTCCCATATGTGTAGTCACTTGAGAATTCTATATTGTCCACTAAGGATGGAAAGTCATGTTTTCCCCACCCGAGGTGCGCATGCTATTTTTTAACATGCCTGCAAAGAATAGTATATTGTGCATCAAGGGCGGGAAGTCATGTTTTCCCGCCCGAGGTGCACATGCTATTTTTTAACACGCCTGCAAAGGAAAGTTCGTCTTTTGCTCCTTGATGAGCGGGAGGAAAGTGAGTACTTTCCGCCCTAGGGTGGAAAGTTGCTCCCAAGGGCGGAAGGTCTTGACTAAGCCCTGTCAGGCCCTTGGCCTGTCTTGGCTAAGGGCTTCTAAGTCTTGAGAAGTTCTTATTATGAGAACCCAAAAGTTTTCAGGTTTTTCACAATTATACTAGGTAAAAATTGTTGAAAATTAGACCTTTCTTCTCTGATTTTTTGAGAAAATTTTCGCAAAATAAGTGAATTTAACTCCTTTCCATGATTCATTGCTCCACAGAGTACGACAGAGTTAAAATTTATCGATTTTTAATGCAAACTAGAAACTTTTCTCAACATAGGACTCTCTTAATCCTTTTCTTATGAATTTAATAATATCCAATAATTATAGTACTATAGGTGCGAACGTTTTGGAGCAAAACAATTGTTTTTCTAATTTGTTTACATGGTTGAGGTTATAAATACTCCGGTCACCGTTACCGATTGGAGTAAAGGTGTTTTTGTAAAATTCTACCTACCTTCGTCATCCTTGACGTACGCTGTCGCCATTTCTCAGGGGATTCGGGTTGAGACGGGTGAACTTTAATTGATATTTTCGATCTGAAAAGGCACTTTAGGAGTCGCTGATCATGATGCCTGTTTTTCGGGAATTTGAGTTGTTTTTCTTTGATTAAAAATGCAGGAATCTTTTGTACCTTCTCGGATGTTAACTACCGATCATCGGTATCTTACCTGCGGTAAATTCAATATTGATTCACGGTTAGCTATCGACCGCCGATAGCCAACCGTGCAGCAAACAGTGAACCCACGGTAAAACAGAGTAGAGTACAGTGTAAAGTTCCTATTTTAAAAAGAGAATCTGGAAGAGAAAAGGGAAGGTCGGAAAAAAGTCAAGAAATTGATGATTTTATTTTATACATTATTTGATTTTTTCAAAACCCCTATGCAAAATTCCAGATAGCCTAGGAGAATGCGTGACAAAAAAATATTAACAATAGAAAAAAAGTCGCCAATGGAGTTGTGATGATACATTTCGCTATGGGAAGGAACAGCTGAGTTAATCAGTGCTGCCAACTTGTACCTCGAACGACACAACGTTGTCACTTTTTCTATCCGTATTAATTATTTTCTCATTATCCAAAAGACAAGCTGGAAAAATAAAAAAAGGCTTGAAGTATGTGGGGAAAAAATAAAAACGTTATTAAAAAAATTTTTCGAACACAAAAAAGATCGAAATAGTTTGAAAATTTGTAATTGAAATATCGTTTTTTTTTTAGCGATTGGTTTCCTGCAAAAGAACAATAGATTCCCCTCCGTCTCACGTCCTACATGCCCCCACCCCGCAAATACCATAACTGCGTGTCAGGGTACGCGTACCCTTTGGTACGGCAGCACGCTGTAAGGTACCTGGTTCCTTCAAAAGTATACTTTATGTTTTTTTTCAAATTTTTCGGATGTTTTCTTACGGCTTAATGTCGAGATTCAAATCCAGACCTGTAAAGTTTAAGTTTAAAATAAAATCATTGTAAAATGTCCGGAAATTTAGGGTCAAATGAGCTTCAAATGAAAGCTCTGATGTTCTACATCAAAAATAAAAAAACATCACTGGAGAAAAAATAACCAAAGTACTTGGATGTCCTTAACAGCCATTTTTTATGCGAAATAAAAGTCAAAAAAAATTAGGTGCATGACTTTGTTTCGTTTTCCCTTCGTCGAACCAGATAAGAAGAGATGAGAAAATTACGAACAGGAATTTGCATGGAGGTCAGTCTTTCGTAATTCCCCATTTAGACATCCTTTGTGATCTATGAATAGCCAAACGACAAAAATTACGGACGAATAATTCCTAGATATTTTATCTAGGAATTAATTGAAATTTCCTTTCGAAATGAATTTGCGAAATTAATTAAACCTGGGTAACGCGTTGACTGAGTGCGAGAGGAGTAGGGAATCGCAGTCGTCCATTGGCTGAGGCACACGTGTAAATTAAGTTAGGTTGGATGGAGAACTGTGATTGGACCAGTGTTCGATCGTCTGCATAACGTCATGAGCAATTTTCGAGCGTTTGAAATCCTCAACTTTTGATAATTAATTATTTATACGCAATATTTCAAACGACTGTGATTAAAAAATTCCTCATTTCGGTCCTAAACTTAAGTTTAAAAAATGAAAACAAAGTCATTCAAGTTTCCTATTGCAGCACGATGCAAAACAAAAAATAACTCTTCATGGACAAAATATCAAAGTGGAAGTATCCGCCAGAACATGCCGTAAACACCTCAATGATTTCTAACGCGTTAGCCTCGAGTGTTTGGTGTCACGGGGTGCGCCCATATAACCGGAAGTTACTCGACAACAATCGAAATCGGATGTGATTGTGACCGGTGCCCGTGGATGCATTGTTACACAATGAACAGATGAATTTTAGACGCTCAACTTGTACAAAACCAATAATACCCCATGGACAATAAATGTGCAGTCCTCAAACACGTTGAAAATTACTCCAGTTATGCTCAACGAAATTCAACTGATTCAGTATGCATCGTGTTTCTGGCACCGCGAGATATAATTCCTCCTCAGAATACTCGAGTTCAATTAATCCATAATTGTTTGTTGAAAGCGTGAATCATTAATGGATTAATTAAAAGTGGATTTTATGTTTGTCGAAAATCGGTTGTTCATCACTGAATACATTTTCCATCAACTCATATTTTTACGCAGTAATTCTCGATTACTCTGTGTTGCATTGTCCGGATAACTGTGTAAATAATAACAGAAAAAGCATTCGATGTGAATTGTATCTTCCCCTGGTGATTTCAATAATTGATTTTTTTATTCAGAGGGGTACAAACGGAATTTGGAATCTCGAAAATGTGAGTGTTACCCATAAACAGTAATTACAAGCTACACGAGGGGAGAATTATTTAATGAAAATGTTTCATCAGAGGGGTACATGTGTAATAACCGAATAACAACTTTTCCATCCGACTTCACTTGAAAGCTCTCGAAGAATAGCACAATTATCTCTCCAAAGGGTATATTCCCAATTATATTTGAAACAGGACTCCACACATTCTTTCCCTCCTCGCTCAAAATGATTAACATTTATGAAAAATTGAATACTACCGAATTATCTTTGCGTCGCAACCCAACACCACATCTCCTCGACGCATGATTATTCACCTTCAGCAAAAAACTGAAATGAACCTGTCTGAAGACTGCCACATTTGCAGAATAAAATCAAAGGGAAGAGACAATGTGGAAAAAAAATCATCGCAAAAACCAAAACAATAGGGGGCAAACAGAAAACGGATCGACTGTCGTGTAAAAACCCTCGAATGAAACACAATGGCGCCAGTGTGTTTGCCGTCAGAAACACAGGAGAGATACCCATAGTGACGGAAACGTATTCACGGAATTTTCTGAGGATGTGGTTCCTCCGCATTCCCATGGAATTCCGGGATTCGTTGGGGTTTTGGTTGGGTAGCAAAACGTTCGCTTTTCCACGATGTGCATAGGAACACTGCAGTGCTTTGTGATTAAACTCGAAATAGGTGGGGGAGACATTGGGTGTTGGGGAGGTGTGCATTAAGTCCTGAGGAGATTGATTTACTTTTGTCCCCGCAAGAAGCTTGAGAATACCAAAGTGTGCATATCAACGTGAAAAGATCGAGACTCGGGTAATAATTTATGTCCTTTAGATACGGAACAATGGGAAAGCCCTGAAAAAGTTGAAAAAAAAGGAGAACGAAAGAGGGACAAGAAAAAAAGAATAGAGAAACATGCTGAAGGTAAGCACTGAAGGATAGTCGCCTCGGGGTGGGTGAATTTACCGGAAGGCATTTGGTACTGAAAATATGGTAGATAAACTCATAGCAGTTTATCTCTGGACAGAACCAAAAGTTGGATATTTATCGTACCTTTTTGGGAGAATTTTGTGTCGTATTTATGGCACAAATTATTTTTCAGATAAATTTATTATGATTTCTCTCTATATTATGAAAATCCAAATCGACTTCTGGTGATAAAAATTTGGTACCCGTAATTAAGACTTGTACCCCTCTGATGTTTAGAATAAGGGTCGCGAGGGTCAGATTAAGGATCACAAGGGTCAGAATAAGGCTCACAAGGGTTAGATTAATTGTCACAGGGATGAGATTAAGGGTAACACGGGGGATACTTAGTTACGAGAGTCAGATTAAGGGTCACACGGGGATACTTAGGGTCACAAGGGTCAGATTAAGAGTCGCAAAGGTCAGAATAAGGATTATGGGGATCATATGTGGGTTATATGGGGATTGTCGAGCGGAGTGAGCACGAGACAGAGCCCCCTAGTCATTAATAATTTTTTCAGTACTTTTGAACGACGTAATGGCCGTAATCAAGTGTAATGAACGAAGGATAATGGAATAATCAGAGAATCTTTATTAGATGGCCTGGTAATACGAAAAGCTAAAGGTGGGACAAATAGCACTGAAAAAAACCTATCATTAGGAAAGCCAAAGCGTTCCGGGATTACCGGGTGCTTCATGCAATCTATGCGTCTGTGTAACACTCTGATCTCCATGAGATTCACCCCTTGGAAAATCGTGAAAAAAAACATCCCCTAAATGCAGGATTACAACGTAGAGTTATGTCATTGATTCTTCCTCCTCCCATTCACACTAATGAATTGTGATAAATGTTTGTCACTCTCTCGTGTTCAAAGTCGTATCAATTATGCACTGATAAATGAGTACAAATTTAAACTGTGTAACGCGTGATTTATTCGCCAGATTGGTTACATAAATCGACAAGTTGTCGATGCGGAAATGTATCTCCACTGGGCAAAAATTTTTGCTGAGTCTGTAACAAAATGAGGATGATTTAACCGAGGCATTGAATCGATCTATCGCATATTTTATTTTTATTTTAGCTTGCGAGATTCTTTAAATTGAAAAATGGATTCATTTTGTTAGTTGGGAAATTTTTCAATCAATTAGCCAAACATTCAGACTTGTTAGTACACCGGTAGATTTGGTATCGAGCCAAAAAATTTCAATGGGAATTCATGGCCGTGTCATTTGTGTTTGAAAGTGATTTTCGATGTGCCCGTAGACGAAAATCGTTTTTTTAGAACAGAGGGAGAGAAATTTCAATGAAAATTAACAACTTGCACGCTAAATTCGGTGGTAAAAACATTCAATGGTGCATCTCTATTATTTTTCATTTTTCGTTGGGTATTGAATATTTGGATTTAACTTTTCAAGCTTTATGCATCTATCCATTTTATTTGATATTTTCATGTTGCTTAATCACGCTATAATTGCAGAGCGATTATTATTCACTAAAGAATCATTGATTCTCTGTTAATTGATTTGAACTGATGCGGATAATCTGAATATTGTGAATTCTTCATTTACGGGATTTTAGATGGGGACGGACGCAAAAATGTCAGTTCCGCATAGACGTCGCGCGGTACTGTCCCATCGACCCCGCGGGGTACCTTTGTGAAGTGCTTTGGCGCGCAAGGCAATGCCGCGCGGGAACACCGCAGCAAGGCACACGCGGCAGGGGATTGCTACTAGGAAAAGTGCATTTAACGCGTGGAGTGGAGTTTGCGGTAGTCACGTAGTTCAAACATAATCAAGGACGTTTTCGTATTTCATGGGCTCCTTCGTGTAGTCAAATCTGGTATACATATTCGTGGTAATTGAAGGAGCATGCAGCGAAGGAGGTGATTGCAGAGAAAAGGGAGAAATTGGTCTTATTCCTTTGGAGAATAAATTCTTAATGAGTTTTATGGGGTGCTTTGATGTCAGTAATGATGATTGCGCTCTTAATTGAGAGGGATAAAACATTCAGCTTCTCAGGTTGTTTCCATGCTGTTTTCAGATATTTACCTGAGGTCGGAGCGAATGTAGGACAGCATGGGCTGTACGACTAGTGCTGCTCCCTGCAAGACTGGCGGGTCAAGGCTCATGACAACAAAACTCAACTTTACTAAAGAACAGTTAGAAGGATTGAACGGATTTTTCCGAAGATCCGTGGAACGTCAGGGAGTGTATAATAAAGGTGATTTTGCTATCACCTCTTTACTAACGCTTTACTTTGGGAATACGGGGGGAAAAAAGTTGGAGAAAAATTATCGAACAAGTGATGTAATTGTGGAGCGGGATTCAGTTCTAGGTCTTTTTCACCCTATCTTGGGGCAAATGCGAGAAAACAGTGAATTTTTCTCCGTCGACTGGAGAAAACTTATTGAACGTGAGGACTATTGATCCCGAAACTGTAAAATTTACCATTCAGGCTATCCAAAACCATCCCGTAAATGTGAATGATTACGCGAACAGTAGACGATATTCACCGTTAAGATCTTATTTATTTGAAATTGGTTCAAGCATATAATACTTGTTCCAAGAAAGAAACATCTCATTAAAAATGATGTTTTCTATCAGTGCATATACCGGAAACTAGAATGAACAAAGTTCACCGTTTTATGGAGATGTCTACATATTATAGAATGATTGCTCTACAATGTAGAGTCTACATGGAGAGACAATGCTAGCTTGATGTGCTATTCATCAACCCATGGGACCAAATCATGGTTAGCAATAAATTTAGATGTGGCACCCGAATTTTTAAGGAAACCACATGGAAAAGTAGCGTAAGATCTTCAAGAGTTAGAGTGCTACATTTGAATTTTTGGGTGAATTAGCTGAATTCGTTGGTGACCTCCGTTTGGTCCCACGGCTAGTGTATAGCACAGTAATTTTTGAAGGGATTCGCACGGAATTGTCATGTATTTTTCTCTCCGTGCAGAACAAAATTGCGCGCAACCTTACGAGATGATTGCCAACGTCCATCTTCCCCGACTTCCTGTCTCACCCGTATTTACCCTGGGCATTATCATCGACTAGTAAAAATCGGTATATAGTAATCGAGCTTTGTATCCCACGCTACCCCATTTTACTATTATCATGGATCTCATATAGGCAAATTTACTAGTCCGTTCCCTCAGAATTACATGGAACCCTCATTCAACCGCTACCAGCCGGAAGGAACGAATTGGTAATTCTGACCGTACCTCCTGGGATCGTAATTTTCATCCCATTTAGACTTTTTTCAACGTTCTTTAGACCCCAGGAATAAAAGCTGTGTGTACATCATTTTTCGTTACAAGCAATGGTTTATGAGAAGAATAATTTGTTCGATTTACTTTTCCGCTGCAGTCGAATGTCTAAAAAATCGCTGTTTTGAGTCGTTGAAGATTGAAATGGTGGTCATTTTTTCTTGATTGAACACCCTTCATGTACTATTGCAAGTTTTATTACAGTAGACTCTTTATAGTCACATTTCCCCTCATTGATTTTTCGTCGCTCGAGCACTCCGCTTCATCACCTACGGGCCCGAAACATATCTAGTATTTTCCGTGCGAATTTCTTCGAGGAGTTATTGTCGTGAGCGCGTGGTGGGGGTCGGGAAATACAGTCGCATTTTTCGAATTCACTTCCATGCGTGCGACCATAATAAGAGTTTACTGTACTCGAAACAACCATTTCTTACATAACATGCAGAGGTAAACAGAATGGTTAAATCGAAGAAATTAATTTTTCGATCGTGATTTACACGGAGAGAAAAGTGGATAAAAAAAAACAAAAAGAAAAGAGAGAAGCTCTGATACCCGCCTCGTTTGGGAGTAATGGCGGGTCATTTTGTTGACTGACCGTAATGGAAAACCTTGCAGCCCACCAGCAGGTTCATCGAACAAAAATGATTGAATGTTTCGTGATTTCGGGATTTTACACTACGAAGGTAAACGTAATTGTGTACAATTTATCCCGATGCTCGGATCACTTGTAAACGCCGGGCAGAGGAATTACAATTGATTCCGCGGAATCAGGTACTATAATGACGAGGAGTTCGCCCCGCTGTATGATCGTTTTCAATGCTAGAAGGAGACTGAAGTTGAATTTTAAATACTTTAAGAAAACCTATTCGGTCAATGCCCGAGTGCATGTCATACGGTGCTGATCTTGCATCCTTATTTCGACATTTTTACATGCTTTATTGGATCCCATGAATGAGTCCGTGTTTGAAGTTGTGAAATCGATCCGTTTTATTCGCGCTATTCTCTAGAATATGCCGTTCGAAAGCAAAATTTCATTTTCTAAGTTTATTTTAATTTTTGAAAAATTCTCAAACACAACATCCGTTATAGAAAAATTATACGCAATATTGAGCAATCATTGACATTCACTGGCATAATTTTTGACGGAATGTAGGGTAAATTTTACAGTTTCGGTTGAAATTACCCTCATGTTCAGTCAATTTTCCCGGACCAACAGTGAAAAATTCACTATTCGTCGCGCCTTTTTCCCAGATATAAAGTAAAAAAGTACCGAAAATCGAGTCCGCTCCATTATCACTTGACTTGTTCGGTAATTTCTCTCTAACTTTGTTCTCCGTGTATTCTATAAAGTAAACCGCACTTTGCAGTTTGAATAAAAATTGTGCCGCAAGAAGCATTTGCAAGCTAAAACCTCGAGAAATTACATTTTGTGAGTACAGGGTAAAATGGGTTGGGACGAACACTTTTTCCACTTTCTTTATATGCATATATATCTCACCTTGTATCGAAGTCCCTCGATGGGTCTCTTCATCGACCCAACACTTTCAAGTTTCACTACCACCCTCCCTTAATGGCCAGTCGTGAGGTAACAAAGAGATAAATTAAACCCTGTAATTGGATTTAAATAGCAACCAGAGCTTGATTCAACAATCCTGAACTTATTCGAGACTACAGAATATCGACCCACCTACGCTTTTCTTCGTTCGAGGTTGAATCATAAAACGTCTCCCGCTACGATCTATCTCACAGACAAAAAAAATGAACCACAGGTGCTAGCGATTCTCCTCCCCCTACATAAAAATCCCTCCATCCAAATAATCGTAAAATATTTTTTTTATTCCCGTTCCCAGATATCGAAGAGATTGAATCAACAATTGAGAGATTGGTGCAACGACTGATTGCAGGAGTGAGCAATCTGGATTCCAGATTCTCCTCCATGTTCCTCGTTTCCCTAAATGAGCGTCGCCGGATAAAGGTAACTTCCAATCTCTCGTCTAGATGTTATTCCTGTAACTCTCAAAGCCACATAAGAAGAGATACGGAATTATACATTTTTCAGCAACTAAAGTTTGAGTACTTGCTGCGTATCGATGCCCTCTCGACTCCGACCGTCGATCCTGATATGATGTGTGCAGCTGTATATGTCGAGGAAGATTCAACATCACTAGGATTTGCTAGACTCGGTTTACGTGGTGCTGATATCGAGCATTGGGCTGAGTTTCTTGGACCCGATGGGAGATTGAGGAGGGATCTCGTAAAAGCTAAACTCCTGAATCTATTGGCAGCTGCTACAAAACAAGGTATACAAAGTTTTAAGTTCAAGCTTAAAGCAATAGGTGGTACCTCTTCCTCTGGGGATTATATATTGTGAGGATTACAATGAGTAATCGATAGAGATTTAAAGTTGAATTTTATGTGCATCGTATAACGCAAAATATAATAGAAGGATAAAATTTGAGTTGAGTTTTTTCGTTCCAAATGGAAGCATTGTAATCGTTCAAATTTAAGTTTTGGATTTTTTGGATTATTTCGACCCATTATGAAAGTTGGAAGTAGGCTAATTTCAAAAGAAGTAATACGATGGCCACTATTTTCGCACTCGGTCGAAATAACATCCAAACGAATATTTTAAGCCATAATTGAAAAGATTTCGATGATTATTTTTTGAATAATCGTCGAAAAACTAAATTGGAAAAAAAGCTCATATATGTATATACATATATACATACAGACATGATCTAAAAACGGCGTATTCGAACTCCTGAGATCAAAATTAGTCATCCTGACGCAACAAAATGGAAATTTTAGATTTGACGAATACAATGCTGCCGTTCGGAAGCAAAAAGGGGTAATAAGAATAATCATGCTGATAACATTCAACTAAGTTGAAACTCTGACAAAATTAGGTAAAATGAAATCTTATTCAACCTAATAAGATGAAGTACACAATGAATTGTCCATGATAGAAGGAAATGATATGCAAAATAAACATTCGGAAGCATATTGCTAATTTATTAGCAAAACGGACTACACTATAAGCAATACGAGAACACTTTCCCATTTATTTCACTAAAGATTGCTTCAAAAATCAATTGTTTGATTCATTTGACCAACTGTCATTCGTTTGATTGAGATTCAATGGATGAAGCGGACGAGCGTATTTGTCAATGTCCTGGGCAGATAATTGATGCAGAAACTTTGGATAAAATCCTCAAGCAGCCAGATCACTGTAGGATTTTCTACGGACCAGGTAACAATGATTAATTGTCATTCACAATCGAGCCATCATTCAGAGTGAAGACTTTGGAAACAACACGAGTTTTGTTAGATATTATACTTCCATTATCCATAAACACTCCATGTCTACTATTTTTTTCTACTCTTGCATTTCACCATTTTTCCTTTTCCTCATTCTCCATGGTAATATATCATATTAAGCGATCGTCGTAGAAAATGCTAAGTCACCTAAGTAATTCAATATACCCCGTGTCCTATAAATTAGAATGTACGGTCGAGTGGAGTTACTTAATTATAACTGGCGGAGATTTAAAATTACGATGCAAACGAGCCTGTGAGGATGGGGTGGAGGTTGGCTAGGCGAAAGAAAGGAGTGAAAAATATACAGTGTCTACGCGTTTCCCCCGTAAGAGAGTATAAAAAAAGTAGAAAAACATTCTTGAAACTCTGAGCACCCCTGAGTAAATCAAAGGAATGGTCTCTATAAAGAGCGAAGGAAGAATATTTAATATTCTTGATTTTATCCTTTGTACAATTGAGATGAGAACATCACAATTCTCCTGAAATCTTGAGACCATAAATAATTCCTGTCTTATCCTGCAGCATCGCGAGAATCTTCTTTTTTACTCCACTCTTCAGCTGAAAATGGGGGTAAAAAAAATTATGAAGCTTGACATTGAAATGTTCAGGTGAAATTTTCACTCCCTACATTATTTTTCCTAGGATAAAAGAAACAATGTAATTTCAGTTTAAATAGTTATTTATATACCAAATTTCAACACTACTATTTCACTCCCCGGACGCAATAACCATTCACCCTTCTTCCTTTCTCAATTTATTTTTCATTATATTTTTTTTTGCTATTGTATCGGGCAGCCTTTCTCATGCTAATTTTCTTCATTCCCCCCCTCTCTCTCTCTCGTATGAACTAGCTACTCCGGAAAAAGTACCAACGGAGCCCCGTGATCATCGTGTGGCCCTGGTGGAGGACTCCAGTGGTATTCTTTTGCGTATTGGTCTGAGGGGCCACAAAATTACTGAGGTGGAAGTCAGGCTTTTGATTGGTATTGGTGTTTCAACCTGGTCAATACATGCCGATTATCCACGCAGAGTACCACTACACCATTGCGACGCACTTCTCCACTATAATGCAGCACAAAGCGTAAGTATACAGTGATTCAATGTCTATTGTATTTCTGTGTACGTGTGTGTTCGTTGCGCTAACAACAGTCGAGTAGTTTCCAAGTAAACAATTTGCAAGTGGGAGGGGAAAGGGGGGGGGGGAATGGACTGGTAGAACATGGGGAATTTGGATTATTTAATTAGTCCGTCAGTGTGGCACAGTTAATCAGCTCTCTGGCTGCTTGACCTCCATCCCATTTCGATGTGCTATCTCTCGACTTGAGTTCCTATGTTTGAGGGCATTAATATTTACATTGGAGTTCATGGCTTACTATGTGAACTGTAGGATATTTTATGGGAAGTGGTCCCTGGAAAAAATACTGAAAATAAAACAGAAATTAATCTTAGTTTTGAGGCTTTCGCGGCCATGATTATTGAAATCACTGGCTTCCGGATGGATGCCGCGTTTGGTTGCAGCGTTGCGCCGACGTTTCGCAAACATTGCAGTCTGCATCTTTAGGGGGAAATTTTGAAATTGCTAAATTGCCCACGGTCATTATAAGGCGCCAACAGCGCATTCAAAATCGCCCAATTGGCGATAAGTCGCCCAACCTGGCAACCCTGAATCAGGGCTATGAGCTCTGATTCCGAGCTCTGATCTCTGGGGGTACCCTTTATATGCCCTCCCCTGCGATGGAGGGGGGTGTGAAGGGGGGGGGGGGCCAGTCATTTTTAATTGATCAGCTGGTCAATTAAAAAAAGAAATTCACTTTATGGTGAAGACAGAAAATAAGTAAAAAAAATGTGTTGTAAGTCTCGGTTACTTCATAGTAAATGTTACAAATAAATGCCGACATAAAAAGTTTGCCCATCCCTACTTCGGAAATCTGTTTCTTTCCAAGGTATTTGTAAAAAATATGTTTGAATTTTTTACTTATTTAGTTAAATTTCATGCTAAAGTTTCTCGAGGTTCTAAAAAAATAATTTGATGTAAAATGTGTTTGGTACTTTACCCGGGTGTCTGACACCTCCATCTTTTAAAGAACTTGTATAGTACACGTAAACTTGTACTGAAATGCCTGGAAGCCATATAATTTTTTTCTTCTCTTAAGTTCATTTCTTCTTCTTTGTTTTCGCGTAATTTTATAAAAGCGAAAAGGGAAATAGATTCAATGAGTAAAGAAAATGGAATTAGTCCGTCAGTGTGGCACAGTCAATCGACTCTCTGGCTGCTTGACCTCCGTGCCATTTCGATGTGCTACCTCTCGACTTGAGGTCCTATGTTTGAGGACATTAATGTTTCCATTGAAGTTCATGGTGGACTATGTGAGCTGTAGGATATCTTATGGGAAGAGGTCTCTAAAAAAAATACTGTACATGAAGAAAAATTATGGCGAAGACAGAAAATAAGTGCGAAAATGTAAGTCTCAGTTAATTTGTTAACGGATCGAAGAGCAATCTTGAAGCTGTTGGAAATGCCTGCATGAAGAATTCGCCCATCCCTATTCCGGAAATTGTTCATTTCCAAGCTATTTACAAATAACATGAGTGAATTTTTTACTTATTTAGATGAACTGAATTTTAAAGTTTCTCGAGGTTCTAAAAAAATAATTTCATGTAAAATGCGTTTGACACTTTATCCGGGCGCTTGACACATCCATTTTTTAAGAACTTGTATAGTACACATAAACTTGTCGTACCGAAATGCCTGGGAACCATCTCATTTTTTTGTCCGTCCAAGTTCATTTCTTCCCCTTTGTTTTCGCGCCATTTTATAAAAGCGAAAAGGAAAATAGATTCAATGAGTAAAGAAAATAAAATGAGTGTAGTAGGAGGGGCGGCTTCTTTCACCGAGCACTCAGCCGCAAAAAGGTTCTCGTAAAGGGTGCCCTAGCGTCAATTTTTATTCTGCGGAATTTTCCCGACTCTCCTCCGAGCCTTCTTAATGTGATCTTATTATGCTAGACAGCATTATGCCAACAGCATCGTTGCATTATCCCAAGCGTCGCGATTATCCGGAAATGATCTTTAGATATCTGTCCCTGTTTGGATCTCTTCCATCGCTGCTATTACCGTCTCATAATTTTTTTTGCTATTCAGGGAATGTATGCTGTCGCAGTGGGACCATATCCTGGCGCTAGATGTGAGGATAGATCGACACTGTGGCGTATACGTGTGCCAGCTACTGAGACTATCATGAATCAGCATTACTCGGAAGAGAGTGTACCAGCACTGACGGAATCCGTGCTTATGTACATTCTGGATCAGCTCAGAGGTAGAATACCTCTGAATGTACCAATGAAGTTGAAGGTAGAGTAAATATTTTTTTATTAATTTTTCTTTATTTAGAAGCGACGATGATGGGGGAGAGACAAACATGTAGGTAAATGAATAAAAAGACGTGTCTTGGGTAGAAAAAAGCGATTTTCCCCTTTGAGTAATGGTTATCCTGGGCCCAAGATATTAGTACTCTTTGATGTTGTATTTATTTTTGTTATTTTCCCCCCCTTAGTTATCCTTTTACTCTGGAATATGCAAGCTATCGTTCCTCCTTTGACGTTAACATTGTTCTTTTTTCCTTTGCGTGGTTTTTTCTTCTAATTTCATATCGCCATGTCTTGTTTCCCACTCACAAGGAAAAGTAATTCATTCCCTTGAGACTCCAAGGGGCATTCAATACCGCTGTACTGTGTGTGGATATCAGGGATATGGGAGAAAAGGAGACCGGAGATCTTTCGAATTATTTGTAGATGTTGGTCGGAAAACAATTGACTTTTCCACATCAACTTCGAAGATACAAACGTTTTTTGCTTCCGAAAAGTTTTTTTTTGCATTTCAATCGTTCAAATTTAAGTTTTGCATTTTTTGTGTTATATTGACTCATTATGATCCAAAATATTCGAAAATGCAATTTTTAGACTGTTCCGTACGTACGTGTGTATGCATGTAAAGTTTTTCTTCAATTGTTCGCTGATGAATGGACGGGGCTAAATCTTATTTTTTTTTTCAAATGTAAGTCATTCATTGATTAGTTTTTTTACTTTTTTAATTTTTCGTAAATCGGTTCTCCGACGATCACTAAAAAAATGTTCTGAGTTGATTGAATGATGGTTTACAAAAGTTGTTTGGATATCGCTTTGACCTAGTTCGAAGATGAAGGCGATAGCAATAATCGTTGTTTTGATTCATTTATATATATTGATATATAATTATATATATCATGTGTCAATCTGAAGGTCTCATTGACATTTTTAAATTGATGCTCTATAGTATCTATTCCATCCACTAGATCAATTTCCATAAGCGATAATGCAGCGATTTTAGCATGTCACGTGTTGAAAATTTTCATATTTTTCCTCATAATGACGAGATTTGATTGGTTTCTGTTTAAGTCTATGAAAATGTGTCGAATTATCTTCAAACTGACCCCCGAATTATTTGATTCAGGCTACTTTTTATCAACATATGGGAGTTTGTATCCAAAAATTGAATTTCATGATGTTTATCGTAAATTCAGCTTGATGTGGATTTTTTAATAATTATTGACCAAGGGAATGAAACTATTTATATACCATTTCGAAGGGTATTTGTTGTAGAACGTAAAAATCAGGGGAATTAAAATTTAAAAAATTGCAACATATATCGATCTCATGCAACCTGACCGGCGCGCGCGAAGCGCGCGTCCCGTCTACTAAATAAAATGTTTTTATTAACATTTTATCGAAGGGCTGAGGGGAGAGATAGAACTGTAAAAAAGACAATCCGTTATATAATAAAAATAATGATGCTAATAAGATTCAACTAACAATAAGTTGAAAATCTGACAAAATTAGGTAAAAGGCAATCTTATTCAATTTAATAAAATGAAATAAACAATGAATTATATATGATAGAAGGAAATTTAAAAAAAAAAATTATATTATCTGCAATACAAGAGCAATTTCCCACTTGTTTATTTATTCACAACCAAATCTTTCATTATGCCCACGCCCATTATTATGAGGCACAGTTCAATTCTCTCCACTTCTTACACATTCTCAAGTTTTTCTTCTTTTCAATTTTCGTCCTTGAGAATCGATCTCAATGGTAGAACAAGCATTACATGGAAAACTTCGGGATGTACAACAGAAGTACTACGTGCGTAATGAGAAAAGTTGAAATCGATTTTGGATTCCTCACTTTCGAGGCACAAAACCTAGTACGAAAAGTTGTTTGGTCTTATTGGATGGCGAATAAACAATGATTTCCCATTCCAGTTAGGTGTAAGGCTTTCTTCTCTCCTTTCAGTTGTTATTCAGGAAGGAGGTGATAGGAGAAAGCCGAGAGGGTATCCACTTATGAATGTTGAATGGAAAGGTAACACTTCGTCTCTGGAGAAATGTGAGAGACTTGTAGATTGAATTTCAGGGTCTTTTTGGGTAACGGAGGGGCTACTCCTCTTCGAGCATGAATAATAGATTTAAAAATAGAGAAAGGATTGGCGGAACGATTTTTGATTGTTTTCTTCGTTCAAGTTTTCTATACGGGGAGTTGAATAGAAACAAGCAATAATTTGGCTGCAGTAGCTCCAATATTTTATACATTTCCATCACCATCTCGGGTGTATGCATAATTATAAATCCCTCCACGTGACTCTACCGTATAATGATGGAAGAATCGTTTTTCAGGGGAAACCGGAACATAGTCGAATACCGGCGTAAAATGAGCAATTAACAAATGAACAGTGAGGCAGGGTAAACTCTGGGAGCGCAGAAAGCATCATTATTCGACTAAGGGGATACACTGCTGAATTTTGAAAATTCTGCAATTAAAAAATGGCCTCTGTGAGGCTTTTCTCCCACATCCCGTAATCACTTTAGTGGTGAACTTTGAATTTTAGTTTAACTTTGAATTTTTTTTGCTTCCATGCGGAAGCAAAAACAGAAATTAGAAATTTTCCTGTCAGTATTCCGTTTTGCCCTAGGGGTCCGTTTTGCCCTGCAATCCGTTTTGCCCGCCCAGACCTTTTTGCCCTACCCACCCCTACTCTCCTGAAACCAGTAGAAATAGATCAAAAGATGAACATGTCAGACCAAAAACAAAGTGCTCAGATCCAAAACTGGAAGGGGAAGTTTCCACTTCAAAAAGCACCCTCTTCAATACCCTCGAAGAAAAAGGATCGCTCGTGGGACACCCTGTATAGCAAACGGGTATTGAGCGGAGAGATTTCTACTTTGCTCATGAGTTCACAGAAGTTGAGGATACATTACAATATTCCGACAGCCCCGAGGAAATATTTAGAAAATGAGAGCTTCACAGAGCTTAAAAGTTTGATGCAGAAGACGAGATGAATTCGCCCAATTTGAATTGGCCACGTTGATGCCCCCGTGATAGCTTAAAATTTCATGAACAGCTATTAGGGTGAAGGACGAACGGCAAACAATGATTGGATGTTTTAAATTCAGGCACAAAAGTAGACTCCCCTTGCCATAGTGCCTTTGTGTTTATCACCAACTCTCTAAATGTATAAAGGCAGCGGCGAAGACTAAAGACTATCGCCGGTGCCTCGGGGGACTCTTGCTTTCCAAAGTACACAAACAAGCCAACCCTCTACCCTGGCGCAAACTTTGTGGGCGGTGGCGGTGGCTGATCTTTCGAAGATCCAAGATTTCACGCGTACCATGGCACAACTTACTCGGTTTTCATGAAAATGTTTTGGCCGGTGAGAAAAGACATGCTCGTTTGCAAAAAGTTCCGTCAACCGTAGAATATTCTTTTCGTACAAGTTTCATCGCAAATTGGTGCCTTTTTACTTTGAAGGAAAAAGTGTTGAAGGAATATTTCACGGGTGACGAATTAAGGGAGGCACTATTCACATTTTTAATTGTTATTTGTATCTTTATGATGCTACTAGGGGGATACGCCCCCTGCTCGCTGCGCTCGTCAGTTACCACATGATCTCCATGAACTTTATCCTGATCTTTGTGACCCTTAATGTGACCCTCGCAACCCTCATTCTGACCCTCATTATACCCCTCGTGATCCTTATTTTGACTCATAATTTCTGATCCTTAATTTTAGAGTCTTAATCTCAAGCACCAAATTTTCATCATCAAAAGTCGATTTGGATTTTTGGAATATAGAAAAATATTGAGACCCTTATTTTGACCCTTAGTTTCTGATCCCCATGACCCTTATTTGAACCCTCAATCTGACCTTTATGATCCTTAATCTAACCTTTGTGACTCTCTTTTGGATCCTTAATCTGACCCTTATTATAACCCTCGTGACCTTTATTTTCACCCTGGTGACCTTTAGTTTCTGACCCTTGGTTTTTGATCGCATGTCCCTCATTTGGACCCTTACTCTGAACCTTGTGACCCTCCATCTGATCGTTGTGACACTTATTTAGACAGTTAATCTGACCCTTGTTATCCTCATTTGGACCCTTAATCTGACCCACATAACCCCTAATATGACTCTTGTGTTTCGTACCATTTCGAGTACCAAGTTTTCATCACCAGCAGTCGATGTGGATCTTTATAATATAGAGAGATTCGTTATAATAAGTTTCTCTATCCACGTGTTCATACACTGATAGAAAAGGTGGAACGATTCAGTTGCACCAAACGAGGCTTCATAACTGTTACCGCGATCCGTTAATAGTTAATGAATCGTGGTAATAGTTAAAAAGTCTCGTTTGGTTCGACTAAATCGTTCTATCAGTGTACGTAAACGAATTCATTTCCATTTATGTAATTCTGTGCATTGTATGAAAAGACAAGGAATGGAATCGAATGTATGGGTATTCTTTCATTGATCGAAAAAAATAGTTTTTAAAGATTTCCGGAGACATTGAAATATTGATATTCCTCTGATACTTGAAGAAAAAAAGTGATCCGAATTTCCCAACGACATAAAAGAAGAAAATAATCCATTTTCCGTCCTGCTCTTCATTTTTCTGCGTCTGGAGATTGGTATTGGCCCCTCCCCCAACTTGTAAAAGTGGAAATCACTACGAAAAAATATCGTACACGACTAGTGCCATGGGCTTTTTTCACTCGCGTGATTGGCCAGTCCTCGCCTTCGGCTCGAACACCAACTCCACACGAGCAAAATCCCCATTGCACTCACCCCGAAATATACCATTTCTAGCCAATGATCCCTTTCTGATTCTTTTTTCACTTCCTTTTCATAATAATAATTGGAATCAGACCATAGGAAGGAGGAGTACCGATATCCTTTTACCATATGAAGGGAAAAATAGATGTAAAATATTTTCAGGAATACATGGAGAGATTTCTCTATAACCCGAATGAGATTTTCAATGACTTTTGTTTTGTGTGTTTGTTTTGATAAAAAAAACACCCTTTTTATTGATCTGAAATAAAATTCCTGTTGTAACTTATGAATTACTGGAAAAATATATATAATAAGAATAAGAATGGATAAAATTAAATGAATATAATTGTCAAGACAGAAACGGAAAGAATAAAATAAAAGGAAATAGTATAAATTAATCTAGCGACATATTTTTTAGATTTTTATCAGTATCATTATCCGTTAAGATTCACATGACTAACTTTTTTTTCCTTTTTTCAGAGAACTCTAAAGGTCGTAACACGTTACATAATGAAGACAATTCACTGGTGGTCACTAGAGCGAGCGGGTCCAGATCCATTGCGCTCATGGTCACCAGACACCCTGGCACGTCACGTACTTCTCGCACTCGATGAATTGGTCATGGCACTCAGATGTCAGAGTCTACGATGCTACTTTCATCCACGTTGCAACGTTATGCTCCAGTGCGCAAAAGGTAACAGACACATTTCATACGAAACGCTGTTGAAATGTTCGAGAAATTTTTATAATATTGCTTTTATCATAAAAGAGATATATATGAACTTCTTTCTATTGTTGCCTTTTTTCCGCCTGGGAATTGCAGAGTGGAAGGGTAACGGGTTGTATCCAACGGTGTGGAGGCAATATTGGTGGGGCAATATCGCAACTGGCGTTGGGTAGCTTATGAAATGTCGTGCTCTCAACGAAAAGAGAAAAAGGAATAAATGGAATTATTTCAATAAGTAGACGAGTTTATTTTTCTCTTTTTTCAAGTTTCTCATGTGTATTCGAACTGAGATAATTGACTATTTTCATTGAAGTGAATTATGCAGTGCAGGTTAAGTTGTTAGAGGTACAAAGAGTAATATTGTTATCGTCTGAACTTCATTAAAATGATAAATCCGGTTCTTATGTCACATTCAATAAATTTCCTTCGGATATTTGTCAAATTCGACTCGCATTTTATATTCGTCAATTTGCTCAATTCCATTTGAATCAATTTGCCAATAATGCGTCACCAGAAATATATGATACTTCTCTGAAATTTTTCTGTGTAGCAACAAAACTATCAGAAAATAGTCGATAATTTTGAAGGTCTCAAGTTTTCCTGTTTAGGAACGAAACTCTTTGTTGTAAAACAAAACTGTTCGTTCGAGTGTGGAAAGCTTCGCTTCTCCCCCGAAATTACTTCAAACGCCTCCTTCCAAATTCATGAACCTCGTGCAAAAAACAAATTGTTGCAGTTCTAAGGAACTTGCAACTGAAAATTGATAGATGATTCATTGGGATTATAAATATTCTACATGACTTCCAGATCAATGTCATTATTTACCTTTTTTGCACGAAACACCTTATCATAGATCCCCGGCAATCCAAGGTCACCTTTACATGTACGTGTTAAAATTGGTAACAAATTTTTGAGGTGTGATGCGTTGGGCAGACTGATGTTGCTGATAGATGCTAAATGCATAGTCAAGTTACAGTTCTTGGATAGTCAACTCATTACGAGAACATATTTAACCATGCAAGGAGTTTCGAGCTAATCTACAGTCTCATGGGGTATATGGTAATATAGAGTTACGAAAATTATCTTCACCAGTCTGACAAAGTTTGTCCTTTGATAATATTACATTCGAGATGAATCGCATGGGCCCAGGGGGGGGGGGTTCTTTCGAGGGGCATGATTTTAACATTGAGTTACGTGGTGCTGTCAATATCGATAATTTACTTCAAAAGATATTGTTTTGTTGAAGTGCACTTGCTCCGCCAACTTCCAGCTACTTTGTTGGAGCAACATTGTGTTTTATCTCTTTGAAAATGTTACTCCATTTTACATCTTTTAGTTGAATGCCTCGCGTTGAGTGCCTCCACTAATTAGTAATTACGCGAGATTTAATTAATTCAGTCATCAGTGAAATGAATTTCGTTGAATGGTGCAGTTATTCTCTCGCGATCGCACGTACGAATTATTCTTCAGGAAAATTCGTAAATGAACAGAAGGGTATTTGTGAAGATTCTTGTTATTGGTTTATTGAATAATAAATACTTGAATAAGCCTCTGAGGTGTTCTATAAGAATTGCCCGTCCCCACTTCAGCATCAAAGCACGGCTCAGGCCAATTTTCACTTCAGACTTCGCTGACAGTGACGTGCACTTTTGGGAGTCAAGCTTAAGAAATAAGTGTAAGACTCAAACCCAAGAGTCAAGCATAAGGATCAAGCTGAAGGCTCGAAGATGAGAGTGATGCTTGACTGTGTAGTATCAGAATCAAGGTGATTGGTCAAGCGTAAGTTTCAGCACCAAGGTAGGGTTGCCTGGTACTTCCATTTCGAGTAACAAGAGAGCCAAGCTAATAATATTAGGTGTGTGACTTAATTTTTACAGATTTTTTCTTCGAGCTTAAAATTATATTTAAAATAGAAATATATTCGCGGTCTTTTCTGGTTTTGAAAGGTTCGGACAAAAGGTTTCAGAACACGAAACGACAAGTCTAGGTAAGTTACATAACCTTTCAGAATAGCAGAGTTTACGATGGCAACTGATAAACAGCACATTCGGCACTGCATTTTATACGAATTCCAACAAGGAAAAAATGCTCCTGAAGCACGGGAATCAATGTATAGTGTTCTTAGTACCGACGTTGTATCTTATGATACATCTTATGAAACGTGAATTTCGTCATTTTGCGGAGCTTTGTTCTTTCGGCAATACGGGTGATTTGTTATGTTTCAGGCCTGGCAAATAGGAGGAGAGGATGGGCATAGTCCAGTATTGGTCGGCATATAGACTTATAAATTTTAACATGTTTAGTAGTGAGGCCTAAAAAATTATTTTCTCACACATTTGAAAAAAATCTCACGGAGGCCATTTTTTTATTGCAGGAGTTTCGAATTTCAGTAATGCTCCCCCTTAACTGTTTAACCTCATTGTGAGTTCAATTTGGGTTTTTATAGTTCGAATGAATCATTCACGCGGAATTAGTTAATTCCGCACCGATGCATCACGCTGTACACCTAGGGTTCAGGACTGTGCGAAAACTCGTTACGAGTTTGCCGACTGGCTTAATCGTTCCGTGAACACTTTCTGAGTGGATGGGGGGACATACGTTTGATACTCATCTCGAAGGGAACTATTAGCGATCAACAGGGAATGAGAAACTTTGTCATTTGGCTTATGTTACCCCTCGGGGAAAAGTCATGTCGGAGGATTAATTGCTAAATTATTTGTTCGCTAGTTAATTCTTTATTTCATTTCTCAATGAAGCAAGTCAAGAGCGGTGAGTTATTTCAAATTCCATACAGTCTCCGTGATCTTTCTTTAGAGTAAAAATGTTTGGGATGCATAAAGATGACAAAAAAAATCTTGAATTCGAAAGTCACTCACCATTATATATACGAACTGAACTTCCAGATGCATTACACACTTTAACAGTGAAGAAAGAGATTCCAGGTGGTATTTGCATTGCATTCCCACGAAGAAAGAAATCTCCGCATAATGTTTCAATGAATGGAAATCTCTTTCTTTCTACTCGTTCGTGGTACAGCCTGATAAGATGGGTTGGTTCGTGATGGTGTGTGGGAGTATCGGGGGTGGCCCAGATGTATTCATATATTGACTAATGTTCATGAAGCGAGACTAGCGAAATGCGGAAACCAAGAACGTAACGAAATGTTGAAGTTTAAACGAAATTAGAGTTGAGAATGAATGAATAATTGTGAAGAAATTCCTTATGTGTGTTCACAGTAAATTTAGTAGCGAAATAGTAAAACCGTTCTCGTCCGACGTCACAGTAATACTGTTATACATTTCGTCACGTGGAGGAAGAAACATATTCCACACATATTCCACCCCGAAATAACTCATTACGGAAAAAAATGTATAACAAGGAATGATTTTGACGTGTCTTGAGTAGTCCGTACCCAGCACTTTTTTTTGCATGTGTTCGGTTTTTTGCATGTGTTCGGAAAAACTGAAAAATTCAAATTTAGAAAGGCTGAGGGTCCTCTTTCGGGTTGTCCGTCCCTTTTTTGTTGCAACGGGATAATTTTGAAGAAGTTTCAAAACAATACATCTCTACATCTCTGGAAAATTTTACACATGATGGGAAGGGGGGGGGGTACAAGGGGAATTACATAGGGGTCAAAAATTGAAATGGAATCAAGTCGAAAATCCATACTCCGACGTCGGTGGCCGAGTGGATTAGACGCAAGTCTAGTGGGGGAAAGGTGAGCAAAGGTGTGAGTTGTGTGAGTTCGATTCCCCGTGGAACCGAATTTTTCAAGGGAAGGTTCCGGCGAGTGGGAGGTTGCTAATAGAGGAACCGCCTGTACCGGAATGGGTTTTCTGTGGTTTCTCCACGCTACTTCTATGTTCTATAGGAGTGCGAATGCGGTACAGTGTAGAATCCACAGCCGCATGTATAGGGTTGGATAGAGTGGGACTCGAAAAGGGACTCCGAGGCCGTAAAAAAAAAATCCATACTCATTTCAAGTCGCTTTCATAGAACTGGCGATTTGATTCGTGTAGAGCTCGATTTGAATCAATAGGGAGATACTTGAATCAAGTATTCAATCCCTGCAAATCAAAATGTTTTTGATGGGGTTAGTGCATCTGCCTGATTTGTTATCTGTATGAAAAGAAAATCCCAGTGAAAATTATTGTGCTATCCACCAACGCTGGCGACATAACATGAGGTTACCAAAGAATTCTGATATGACACCCTAATTTTCACAGAGGAATGATTTACTATTCATATCTATGTGTCAGGACGCGCAATTATTATTGCTATTTCTTAATGAATTATTATTATTATTTATTAATTATTATTATTTCTTAATGAAACCATTGGTCTAAATGTTTGTATGAATATTTTATTGTACAAGATCCTTGAGTATAAATACATTTCTTGTAACAACTTTATTCGACATTGATTACCCCAAAGTCGATTCAACCGACGTATTTCCGAGTTATCGATGAAATGGATTTCATCGGGAGCTTTTACTGCTGCTACATTCGATTTCCTTTTTCTTTTTTCCTTTTCTCTTTTTTCCCTTTTCATTGATTATCTCTCAACGGGATGTGAAGAAGCTGATAAATTTCAGATGGACTCCTTCATCCGGACGACTCGTACGTGTCTGATGCTCGACTGTTGGAAGCATACATTCTGGCGGTGCACCAGTACTCCTTGAACTTGACCCCGGCTGAGCCGCGACCCAGTGATGTACTTGAGAATGAGTTGATTGTGAGATGGCGCCGTGTGATGGCATCATTACCCAGAGGCACCATGGGGGGATCCAGCGGTTACAGTCCAAGGCAGTTGGCATACTTGGGGCTTGTCCTTCGAGAAGTTCTTAAAGTCAGAAAACTTTCTGTGCACGTAAGTCGCATCCCTTATTTCAACAACGAGTGAAATGATAAATATTTCCTTTTCGTGGAGATACAAAAATGTATAAATGAGTTTATGGTTTTCTCTATATAATAAACATGATTTCGTACATAAAAAAAAATTCCTCAAAAACTACTGAACTTTTTTACTAATCGCGAGACGTTTCGTAAGACTGTAGAAAAAGTAAGCAAAGATGAATAAACAAGCAGGCAACCGCAAGCATGGAATTTTAGAATCCAAAGTTTAGATGTTCTACTTAGCGGTGTATTAAGGGTGCATTAAGGGTGCCAATCGTATTTGATATAAACAAATTTTCATCCTTCTACTGGTAGGGAAAAATGTATTAATCTACCCGACAAAATTTTAAACCAGCAACCAGTACTATATATCAAGGAAACAAATGCAGGAAATCCTCTGTGCTGTGCCACGAACCTCGGGAGAACATGAGAGTCAATGGATACGGGGAGTTGAAATATCTCTCTGATTCACCCCGGTACCCCATTGTTTTTCACCGCCAGCACAGCATTCTCTATATCTTCAAATTTTCAACTTCCCGATCCGAAGGGAGGAAGTTATTGTAATGACCCCGAAAATCGAATGTGGGAATTTAATGATTTCTCCACGTTTCATGACCCCTAGAAACTTTGCCGACGATTTTAGAGATCGGTCTGTATGTGTCGATGTGCGTGTGTGATCAAAATTTTGTACTACGATTTCTCTCGAACAAACGATGCGTCTCGTGATGTCTTGTAAAGTTTCTCGCGACATCACTAGACTAATTAATCAACATAGATAATTATATAAGACGGATGTAATCACATCACAAACTCTTTTTCTGTTTCCAGCATCATTTCAATAACTGCAGCTATTTCAATTATACTCCAGCTCACGATATTCAATCAGACTCTATCGAGAACTTGATATACTTATTGATTCTAATCCTGAAGCAAGCCAGGGATCAAATTTACGCAATAACTGATCGCAAGAAGCGTAAAAAGGATCGTAGACGAGCACTGAATGAACACAGTAGTCCAAGCCACTTTGAGCGTTCCATGGATATTCTCATCGACATAGTCCGTAGAGACCGTGATACAGCTTACATGGATCTTGATAGTGACGTTGTCCTAGCGAGAGTACTCCTGAGATGGTTGTACTTCGGTAAATGAAATGTTGTCTTAATTGGTAAATCCTTCGATGTTGTTGTTCATCTAGTGTGATATACTCTAGTGCCTTTTGTCTGTAACATAACATAGGTATGGAACACGAGAGAAAGATACTTGGTCCAATTCTACGACCATACCTTGGCAATCTATTCAATTCATCCCATGAGAATGCCTGGCACGTTGAGTCTTGGCGAAAACGTCGTGATATATACAATAGTGAGATGCGTTCACTTGGTCTCTTCTGTAAGCTTGTTACATCCCAAGAGGTATCACCTGCCAACGGCATTGTGGAGTCTATCTCAAAGGGTTGGTACTGGGCTGAGAACACAACTAGGATGATTGAACGATCTGAAGAGGGTTTGAAACTTGTATTTCTACCTCCTGGAAGGGTGCTGAAGTACAGCCTTACTTTTACCAATAATCAGGGCTTGAGTGCGTATTCCACTTGGAGTAAAGCAAGAAATGTGGGAAATGCTGCAAGACGTACTGTTATGGCAAGAACTAATATGATAACTAACGGAGAGCGATTCGGTGAATTTGGAGCAATTGGTGAAGCTGATGTTAATGAAGGTAAATGTTTCTTTTCTGTCTTCGGGATTAAATCCACTGGGGAAGTGATAATATTGTCCAAGTTGAGATTTCATAGCTGGGTAATTATGGAATTATCTCAGTAAGGAGGGCTTCCGGAGGATATTATTAAAGGATGTTTTCAAAATCGCTGCCTCTGATAATTCATACTAAATGCAGATCTAACCTTTTCACATATCAGGGAACAGGTGACAGGACTAATTACCACATAGTAATTTGATCTTAACACGTCAATTCGTCTCACAGACAATTGAACACAAATAAATTGAACACAAAACCTATTATTTCATTAAAGAAGGGAATTTATATAGCGTTCCACAACTTTGTGACGTCATAGGAAATTAGTTGGATGGGATTTGGATGAAGTAGGAGAGGATCCCGGATTATTCTCAATATGAATTAACAAGAAATATTTACTGAAAAAAATGGACAGTCCAGACTGAAATTTGAACCCGGGAGCTTCCGATTATGTGGAAAATTCGACATAGGACAAATTCAACACTAATCAAAAGATACACAAAGTTATTACAAATTTACTACTTAACCCGTTTACTTCTAATCATTCTCATTCTACAGAAAAACAGTCTTATGACAGATCAGACCGAGCTCAACTTTCTTTTTCTCTTATTTTTTCTGTCTGGTATCAGACGCAAACAGACAAAAGATGAATTCCCCAAGTAATAATAACAACCCAGAAAATCGGTATTTATAGCCCCCACTTATAATATGAAGCAGAGCCGAGGTAATCGTATATTGGGCCATCAACGTATAATTAGTGCGCTGGGGACATTAGCCTTACCCATGAAGTTTTCAAAATGCCGCTCCAGTTTGTTTTGAGTCAAAGAGGAAAACCACAATTAATTAACAAAGGTTATTTGTATAATTTGTAGCATAATAATTATGGTAAAGTTGAGTGGAGATGCAGTGAATATAAGACTCAATATGTAAGTGCAATATATAAGTGCAAAGTCATTGTTAACACTTCATCAATAAAAAGTGCGATGAAGACGATTGTGTGTTCAAATATTCAATGATTAATTTAATGTGCTGAATTCGTCCTGTGTTGAACTTACTCTGTATTGAATGGGTTTTGTGTTCAATTATCGTGTTCAAATGTCTTTGTGTTTATTAGTCATGGAACCGGAGCACACTATGAAATTTGTTTATGAATTGAGTGAACACATCGCGTGAATTTCAAGATAAATTTTTTCCGTGATCAATTGGATAATGAATAATGACTGAAATTTTAAATTTCGTTTTTCATTAATCTCGGAGCTCACAAACTCTTGGGATAATCTTTTGACCTTCTCCTCAAAGGGCTCGGGGATACTCCTACCTATCGTATTTCAGTTTTGTACCTCTAAGACCCTGTCGCGTGCAATTCACACCCTCAGGCAGCTTGGTAATTGGAGAATCTTCCGGTCTCTCTTTGGGCTCGGGCGCTTAACCGAAGTTCCAAGCTGGAACGATAAACTTGGGCGGGAGTTTCGGTGGAATTAATTAGAATCGGGTCATAAGAATCTCTCAGCACTGAGTATGCCTGGACGACCTGTTAACGGTACTCAAGGAGTGGTTGTTTTTTCGCACTTTTACTGCATTGTAATTATGAAAAATAGGGCACTGGGGTAATTCTGAGTAAGTTGGCTCATTCAGGGAAGTGCACGAACAATTGAAGAAACACTCCACTCCACTGTCATTTCGCCGTCACGTAATAGTTGGGTATGGTCTTACGCATATGTAAGGTATTTAGAATTTAGATTCCAGATGATATTGTCAAGGTATTATTTTCCCAAGTTTATCAGTTTGGTTGCAAATAACACTAGATTACTAACAATGTATCGAGAGTCACATGTTTATGTGTATTTGAACTGAATGCACCGTTTAACTCATTTTTCATCCTTTAATTATTTAATTAAAGTTATTTTAATTTAATTTAAATTCGATCTTTACTACGAACTTTCATTTTTCTTCTGTGGGTGATGTAATTTGCTGGAAATTCATATTACAGGTAAGATTGTGTTATAACACCACAATTGATTGGACAAGAAAGTAAGGAGGTTAATTAATTTTTGGGCGCTGCAGAAACACCCTAATTATACTATGAATATATCAACATAAAAGCAAATATAAATGGATTATCATTCTGTTTCAGGTTTCGCTCGTCACATAGAGCTTCGTGATTCGAGTCCACTAACGCATATTGTATCAATGCACCGGAGAAAAGGCAGACAACGAGGTCCCGGGGGTCTTATACCAGCGCTTGTGTCACTGAACAAATTTCGAGTGAGTTGAACCAAAATTTGAAATAATTCGTTTTCAGTTTTATCCTAGCGGTGAATTTATACGTCTATTTCCTACCTAAATTACCACAACTTCATATTCATTCGTGATGAACTCTCGAGGAGTGGTTAAACATCGGTGGTTCAAGCGCATTTATAACAACTTGAAGCTTGACACAGAGTAAAGAGATGGTGGAAATGAGGGGGAGTGAGAAGGAGAGAAAGTGCATACGTGAGGACTATGGTGTTTACAGTTGTTTGCTACCTCACAAGGTCTAATTAAACTCATATTCCAGAGATTAATTCGTGGCATTTATGGACTTTCCAGGCAAATTCGAACTGACCCATGAGAGGGTGTGGTAGTTAGTGGTAAAAGCTGATGAACAAATGTATGATACTGGGTAATTATTGAAGGACTGTAGGAATCTAAAATTTCAAGTGTATGAATGGAGTTCTTTGCCGATAGGAAAATGTAGAATTTTGTATTCTTCAAGTAGATAAGTAGTTAGCAACTAGTTTTCAACCAAAAGTGATTCAATCTCTTCTAAAACCAATGGTTCGAAGAAAAGTTAAGTAGATATTTCCAAGATTCTCTAAATAATCAAAATTAAATGAAACACCTGACTGTTGTATTGTTGGAAATAGGGATGTGAACTATTCTATTCGTACCATTATTTGATTGCAAAGTCCTCGTCAAGTATTTCTTGTTGGATCTCTGTTTGTTTCTTGTTCTACCTCTTAGGGAATAACTTTTCCGAGACGATTCTTCCTATTAAGAGTAATCCCAACGCATTATTTAATTACGATTGTATTTCTATATTATGAAAATTCAAATCGACTTCTGGTGATAAAAATTTGGTACTCGAAATTAAGATTTCAAAATGAAGCGTCAAAATAAGGGTCACGAGGGTCATGAGGGTCGAAATAAGGGTTGTCGGGGTCAGAAGTAGAGTCACGAGAATCAGGTTAAGGGTTACAAGGGTCAAATTAAGGGTAATGAGGAATCGAATAAGGGTCACCCGGGTCAGATGAAGGGGCATAAGGGTCAAATTAAGGGTTCAAATAAATGTCATAAAAGTTAGATTAACGGTCCTACGGGTCAAAGTAAGTATCACAAGATTAAGGGCCAGATTAAGGATCCTAATAAAGATTACAAGAGTCAGATTAAGGGTCGAAATAAGGGTCACAAGGATCAGATTAATGGTTACAAAGGTCAGAGTAAGGGTCACGAGGGGCGTGGGGGTCAAAAACCAAGGGTCAGAAACTAAGGGTCACCAGGGTCGAAATAAGGTTCACGAGGGTTATCATGAGGGTCAAATTAAGGATCCAAATAACGGTCACAAGAATCAGATTAAGGATCACAAAGGTCAGATTAAGCTACCAAATAAGGATGTCTATATATCTCGCTATACTATAAAAATGCAAATTGTCTGGTCATGAAAGTACTCGAAATTAAGACTTCAAAATTCAGGATCAGAAATGAAGCGTCATATGGGGGTTGGCGAGCGCACCGAGTAGGCGGCATAGCCTCCAGTAGTATTAATGTACAATGGAAGGGGCAGTCTGACTACAGCCAACACCTTTCTACTTACTTGCCGTAAAAGTAATTTAAAGCATTGATTTTGACGTTCCATAAATGAGTAAGTTTGTGAAACATTCCTATTATACCTCGTTATTCATTAAAAATTAGCATGTCTTTCAAACAAAAATTTCAAATACGTTGATCTAGTTTTTTCTGTTGCAAGGAAAAATTAGTCTTCTCTTAAATCCCCCCCCCCCTTAAGCTTCTACTTTTCGAGTTTCCTCATTGACAAACTTTTTTAATGAGTTGAGCTCTGATTTCATCTCAATATTCACGAAGTTTGTGGAGAGTATACAATCACAGAGGCCCAATGATTGAATTAATCTCAGACTTGGAAAAAATGAAAGTTACTCAATGAAATTTTCCCGGTGGCCATGACTTGAGGACACATTATCTTTTAGAGGATTGCAGTATGCACACACAAGACCCTATTCAGTGCCCTCAGGGTAGTCGGAAATACGAATGAAATAATGTCAGGTTGTATTTTGCAAAAGGGGTTTTGAACAAGTTTCCTCGTTTGTGGAATTACCAGTGCGAAGAAACGAGGTACTTTAGGTAGCAGGTTAAACTTACCCACCTATAGTAATCTATATGTGCGAGGAGTTGAGTTTATTGGCGTCGAGCATACCCATAGGCAACTTTTGCAAAGTGGCAAAATTCAATTCTACGTTCGGGTCAGATAAGACAATTGTTTCCCATTTCTCTTATTCTTATTTATTTTTGTTCTTATCTCACCTTGTCTCCGCACTCTTATCTCGTTATCACGCACCGAGAAATTTATAACTTCTTTTTATGAATAGAAGAATAGTTCAATTGGATTTTCTTTCTGTTAATCTATATTGATCATGGCCCTAAATAAAGGAAGGATTAAGTTCTCGCTTGGATAGAAATAAGGAATTTATTAGGCCAATAATTTATCAAGAGATAGTAAAATCGGAACTTTTATCATTTCAACTTTTTCATCAGATCATTATATGTCACAGAAATATAAAATTGTCTGTAAAGCAATGCTTCAATGACACTCCATCTTCCGAAAATTCAGGATGGCTTTAATGATCTCAGTTCCGCCGCGTTTATGGCATCGGATATCGTTTATGTCATACCAAAGTTTTCTTTCACGGTTCAATAAAGTGACTTCTATAATAAACAAAAGGATGAAATTGGGAAGAGGCCATAGGTAGTGAGGAAAATGAAAATTGACATACTTTGGTAGGACGTTATTGGGGTGAACTAAAATTCAATACCCATTGTTGATTTTTTACTTTTTTCATGTATCCTGCTTGTCGACAATAAAAAATAAAATGTTGCACAATCGGATAAACTTGAAAGAAGTGGGGTGTAGTTAGAGTACAGGAGTATAGAAACGAGAAAGAGGAGAGGGTGGCTAGTTGAGAAGTAGAAAAGCTGGAACATTTTAACGGTTCCCGGAGTTTTCTCGTTTTCTCGCGTATACCTTGTATATCGTTTATATATATCCCCCATTCCCATATAAAACTAGTGATTTTTTTTTCAGTACACTCTATACACATGACCCTGTAACTTTTCAATGTATTCGCAAAGACTGAAAGAGTACCGGTGGACAGCTTGTGGTGTTATAGCGAAAAATACGAGTTTTCAGGGCATCATAAATGACGGGCTTGACATTTTATTCTGCGTATATGTTTTGACGATAAAAACTAGGGGATGAAGGACTGGGCGAACAGGAGTGGCGGGAACCCTCGTATTACAGGGGTTTGATATATTAGTGTGAAAAAAAGAGGGCTCTATCCTCTTATGAAACGATAGTTGAGATCCCCTTTCGGTCACGGGAAATATCGTGTGCTCAACATCGATATCTGTCATCAGATTCTGATGCATGATACACGTATATCATTAGACGTGGGCAGAGATTGAACTACTGAAGGACAAAGTTGGGAATATTCTGATTCCCTTCATAGGGAAATGGATAGGATAGAAAGTGGCTAAATAAAATAGGTCAATTCTATTCGACACTGTATTTTATCTTCGATATCTTCGAATTTTCATGGTAGAGAACAATTTTCATAAAAACGTTTTGAACTATTAGGCCTCGCTATAAACAGGTATATTTAATAGCTTTATAAAGGCAAAGAAGTTCTGATCCTAGTTTACAGGACTCGGCGACTTTGGTCCCCTGGTGAGGGATTCGCTGCTGTGGTTACACGTTTGCTCATCACAGCTTCATTTCAAGGCAACACGTCAATTCGCACTTTACCGTTCCTCTTTTAATTACCTCATCATTTCGGTATTTTTCATTTCAATATCGATTTATTTCTTTGCGTATGCAGACCATCCCATTAAATCTCGTACGTGAATCCGGCCTTAAAATTTTGTTTTTCTTTTTTGGGTTCCATGTATTATCTCTATCTGGTGATAAAAATTTGGTACTCGAAATTAATACTCCATAATTAAGGGCCACAAGGGCCAAAGTGAGGGTCACGAGGGTCTAAATAATGGTCATGAGGGTCAGAATAAGGGTTACCAGCGTCAGAATAACTACTTTAATAAAATAAATACTTTAATAGCCAGAAATATTTACTTTCGTTTTAATATATTTATTATTATCGGCGACGGTGGCCGAAGTAGTTAAATCGCTCGGCCGGACGGCGGGACCCGTGAGGCGCCGGTTCGAGTCCGGCTTGAGGCAATTGGGATTTTCAAATAAAATCGAAAATCTGGCAGATAATTATTCAATTGTTTCCCCCATATAGACCAATATGGATTGTCTTTAGATTGTCCTCCGGACAGTCGAAGGATAGCATGTAGCATTCCGCTTTCCATGTAATTTATACCTTAAAAACATATAGGATTTAACCTAGTAGATACACCAAAAAAAAAGTACTGATTCCATTTCCATGGATTTCAACACCGACCCCGCCGATTTCAACTCGAGAATCGTTTCCACGGACCGATGAGAGAAATGTGAATAAATGCAAGTGAATAAATAAACTTAAAGTAAGGTAATAGTTCGGTATGGCTATATAGCTATTTTAATATTAAAGATTCGGATTGTGGATGGATGCAATCGGCTGAGCAGTTTCGGAAATATTGAATCTTTTGTATGAATCTATTTCATCAATTCATCAGTTTTCGTTGATTCTCGGGGCACAATAGATTGTGCTTACCATTTTTCCGACTTTTCCATGGACCTTCTATCGAGTAGACTTGAACCCTTGCTTATTTTAATTATTTTTTTTATCTAAGTATCCTGGGCACTGAATCTGCTTTTAGAACAAGTGATAATTCCACTGTAATTCAGGTATTTTTGTTCTCTGAATTTCAGTATGACGTACCACTGAAATCCGAAGATTGTTACAGGAAACCGGAAAATTTATTGCTACGTAAATGCCTTGACGCTAAAATATTCTAGAAAACAGAAATTCGGAAAAATGACCAAAATGAAA